GCACCAAGCCACCACCAGGGTGTGGAACACACAACCACTAAACATCAGACTACAGCACCAAGCCACCACCAGGGTGTGGAACACACAACCACTAAACATCAGACTACAGCACCAAGCCACCACCAGGGTGTGGAACACACAACCACTAAACATCAGACTACAGCACCAAGCCACCACCAGGGTGTGGAACACACAACCACTAAACATCAGACTACAGCACCAAGCCACCACCAGGGTGTGGAACACACAACCACTAAACATCAGACTACAGCACCAAGCCTCCACCAGGGTGTGCAACACACAACCACTAAACATCAGACTACAGCACCAAGCCACCACCAGGGTGTGGAACACACAACCACTAAACATCAGACTACAGCACCAAGCCTCCACCAGGGTGTGCAACACACAACCACTAAACATCAGACTACAGCACCAAGCCACCACCAGGGTGTGGAACACACAACCACTAAACATCAGACTACAGCACCAAGCCACCACCAGGGTGTGGAACACACAACCACTAAACATCAGACTACAGCACCAAGCCACCACCAGGGTGTGGAACACACAACCACTAAACATCAGACTACAGCACCAAGCCACCACCAGGGTGTGGAACACACAACCACTAAACATCAGACTACAGCACCAAGCCACCACCAGGGTGTGGAACACACAACCACTAAACATCAGACTACAGCACCAAGCCACCACCAGGGTGTGGAACACACAACCACTAAACATCAGACTACAGCACCAAGCCACCACCAGGGTGTGGAACACACAACCACTAAACATCAGACTACAGCACCAAGCCACCACCAGGGTGTGGAACACACAACCACTAAACATCAGACTACAGCACCAAGCCACCACCAGGGTGTGGAACACACAACCACTAAACATCAGACTACAGCACCAAGCCACCACCAGGGTGTGGAACACACAACCACTAAACATCAGACTACAGCACCAAGCCACCACCAGGGTGTGGAACACACAACCACTAAACATCAGACTACAGCACCAAGCCACCACCAGGGTGTGGAACACACAACCACTAAACATCAGACTACAGCACCAAGCCACCACCAGGGTGTGGAACACACAACCACTAAACATCAGACTACAGCACCAAGCCACCACCAGGGTGTGGAACACACAACCACTAAACATCAGACTACAGCACCAAGCCTCCACCAGGGTGTGGAACACACAACCACTAAACATCAGACTACAGCACCAAGCCACCACCAGGGTGTGGAACACACAACCACTAAACATCAGACTACAGCACCAAGCCACCACCAGGGTGTGGAACACACAACCACTAAACATCAGACTACAGCACCAAGCCTCCACCAGGGTGTGCAACACACAACCACTAAACATCAGACTACAGCACCAAGCCACCACCAGGGTGTGGAACACACAACCACTAAACATCAGACTACAGCACCAAGCCTCCACCAGGGTGTGGAACACACAACCACTAAACATCAGACTACAGCACCAAGCCACCACCAGGGTGTGGAACACACAACCACTAAACATCAGACTACAGCACCAAGCCTCCACCAGGGTGTGGAACACACAACCACTAAACATCAGACTACAGCACCAAGCCACCACCAGGGTGTGGAACACACAACCACTAAACATCAGACTACAGCACCAAGCCACCACCAGGGTGTGCAACACACAACCACTAAACATCAGACTACAGCACCAAGCCACCACCAGGGTGTGGAACACACAACCACTAAACATCAGACTACAGCACCAAGCCACCACCAGGGTGTGCAACACACAACCACTAAACATCAGACTACAGCACCAAGCCACCACCAGGGTGTGGAACACCATCGAAAATTTATAGGGTTCAATATTCTAAAAATATTACTCCAAGAGGAGACACCCCGCCTATACAGCTGGTGGCCCAAGAGGAGACACCCCGCCTATACAGCTGGTGGCCCAAGAGGAGACACCCCGCCTATACAGCTGGTGGCCCAAGAGGAGACACCCCGCCTATACAGCTGGTGGCCCAAGAGGAGACACCCCGCCTATACAGCTGGTGGCCCAAGAGGAGACACCCCGCCTATACAGCTGGTGGCCCAAGAGGAGACACCCCGCCTATACAGCTGGTGGCCCAAGAGGAGACACCCCGCCTATACAGCTGGTGGCCCAAGAGGAGACACCCCGCCTATACAGCTGGTGGCCCAAGAGGAGACACCCCGCCTATACAGCTGGTGGCCCAAGAGGAGACACCCCGCCTATACAGCTGGTGGCCCAAGAGGAGACACCCCGCCTATACAGCTGGTGGCCCAAGAGGAGACACCCCGCCTATACAGCTGGTGGCCCAAGAGGAGACACCCCGCCTATACAGCTGGTGGCCCAAGAGGAGACACCCCGCCTATACAGCTGGTGGCCCAAGAGGAGACACCCCGCCTATACAGCTGGTGGCCCAAGAGGAGACACCCCGCCTATACAGCTGGTGGCCCAAGAGGAGACACCCCGCCTATACAGCTGGTGGCCCAAGAGGAGACACCCCGCCTATACAGCTGGTGGCCCAAGAGGAGACACCCCGCCTATACAGCTGGTGGCCCAAGAGGAGACACCCCGCCTATACAGCTGGTGGCCCAAGAGGAGACACCCCGCCTATACAGCTGGTGGCCCAAGAGGAGACACCCCGCCTATACAGCTGGTGGCCCAAGAGGAGACACCCCGCCTATACAGCTGGTGGCCCAAGAGGAGACACCCCGCCTATACAGCTGGTGGCCCAAGAGGAGACACCCCGCCTATACAGCTGGTGGCCCAAGAGGAGACACCCCGCCTATACAGCTGGTGGCCCAAGAGGAGACACCCCGCCTATACAGCTGGTGGAGGAGACCCCCGCCTATAGAGCTGGTGGCCCAAGAGGAGACACCCGCCTATACAGCTGGTGGCCCAAGAGGAGACACCCCGCCTATACAGCTGGTGGCCCAAGAGGAGACACCCCGCCTATACAGCTGGTGGCCCAAGAGGAGACACCCGCCTATACAGCTGGTGGCCCAAGAGGAGACACCCCGCCTATACAGCTGGTGGCCCAAGAGGAGACACCCCGCCTATACAGCTGGTGGCCCAAGAGGAGACACCCCGCCTATACAGCTGGTGGCCCAAGAGGAGACACCCCGCCTATACAGCTGGTGGCCCAAGAGGAGACACCCCGCCTATACAGCTGGTGGCCCAAGAGGAGACACCCCGCCTATACAGCTGGTGGCCCAAGAGGAGACACCCCGCCTATACAGCTGGTGGCCCAAGAGGAGACACCCCGCCTATACAGCTGGTGGCCCAAGAGTTTGGATCTACTCGATTGAATCCAAGTCTCCACAATACATAGCTCCAATTTGTATTGTTGACCGCAACTCCCCACTCCTATTTCTTAAAAAACCAGCGACCTTCTAAAAAAGAAAAAAATGTATATGTGAATGCCACATATTCATTTATAGACATCCATATGTGGTGAAATACATGTGAAAACCCTCTTACATACACTCACAGCTCCACGACACCAGTAAGCCTAGACCAGCTGCCAACACACACACCGTGTCAGCAAGGCAGACAGCCCGCCAGCTGTCATAACTCTCACTATACACTTTCAAACTTTCCTTTCACCTGTACTTCTCTTGGATTGTACTTGGATGGGGTTCTGGGAGTTGTTCTACTCCCTCAAGCCCGGCCCGAGGTCATGCCTGACTTGTGAGAGTTTTTTTACGGTTTCACTAATTTCTGTCATCCTCTGTGTATGAACCTTCACTGGTATGTGTGTGAGGGCCGAAGCTCTATCGACCTAGCTGTTCAGTAGCCTTAATAAGGAAAGTTTCGTAAATTCCAGTTTGGCAGCAGGATGCTACTTCGGCCTCACACACGAGGGGTCCAGGGTTCGAGTCTCCGAGAGCCCAGGTGAATGAAATGTTTATTTCCAGGGAAGTGTGGATGACAATTTCCATGAGGTGGTCGAGGATCACTAATGTCTCTGAGCTTCAGTAGTAGTCACGGGGAAAGTTGACAATTTCAGTTTGGCAGCAGGTTGTTGCTTTTGGATTCACTGTAAGAATAGGTCCAATACCGAGTGGTTTTTTGTTTTTGATTTTGAATATGTGAAGAAATTATTTGTTTTTTCTTTATTTCTTGTATGGATTTGTGTTATAGTTGCTTTTCTTCACTCTGATATGACTGCTTTAGTCTGTGCTTGAGATCTTCAATTTCCTTGTTTAAATTAGTACTTCTTTGTAGGGAGAGTCGTGTCTGCTTAAGCATTTCCGTCTCCATCCTCTTTATCTCCCCTCCCATCCCTTAAGACTGTCTACCCCGTTTACCTACCTTCCTCTTCCACCCCTCCCCTCTCTCTCCCTCCCCACAACGGGACAAGGAATTACCAGACCTCTATACTTAATGAGTCGTTCAGTGCTGTGTTGTGGACGACTCTCTCGACGATGATGCGACGGGTGCTGAGGATGGCTCCTGTGGAGCACCTGGTTATTGCCACGGATGGGGGTGGGGGGTGGGTGGGTGGGTGTGGGGGTGGCGTATTGGGCGGGGGATTTGGTGAAGGGTGGGATTTAGGGTGCAGGGGTTAGATTGGGTAGGAGGGAGGGTTGTGGGGTGGGTGGCAAGTGCTGGGTGGGGTGGGTGGATAAAATGAAAACGGATAAGTTGTGAATTAGCGGAGGAATTGGATTGTGGAGGAGGAGAGGGGAGTGGATACCGTTGTGGATTATGTCCAGAGAGGCTTGGGTATGGTAAGCTGTTTATAAAATGGGCTCGAACCGTCGCGTTTCGCCTAATGTGGAAGCTTTCAAGCGCTGAGGTACGCTGCAGGTAACTGACAGCCTCGTGCTGGCAACATTATTCCGTAATAAAAGTGTTCGGGGACTCACCTGTATAATCCGGACTAGTGGGGGGATGGGGGGACTCACCTGTATAATCCGGACTGGTGGGGGGATGGGGGGACTCACCTGTGTAATCCGGACTGGAGAGGGGGTTGGGGTGGGCCAGCTTGTGGGCCATGGAGTAGCCGCCAATGGAGTTGTAGGTGAGATGGTAAGGCTCTGAGTACAGCCCATTCTTGTCTATCTCCGACCCGCTCTCAGCTCCGAGCTGTGGTGGGGGTAGAGACTTGGGGTCAGAGGTGGGGAGAGAGAGAGAGGGAGGGAGGGAGAGAAAGAAAGAAAGCGAGAGATGAATATGAACAGAAAACAATTATATATACCTGCATGTAGCATGGATAGCATCTATACATTAAGTAACAATCTCCCCAATAGACTGGAAGCGTACAAATCGTCTATTCGTCAATATTTACTTAGCCATTCTTAGTCATTCTTAGCTATCTATCAATCCATTGAGCAACATAGAAAGCAACAGTATGTTAACAACATCTAATTAGTTGAACACACAGACATAACATAGCACAACATAGGTAGACGCCACATAGTTACACGTTTAAGACAACTGTTATCTTAACCCAGCTGTTATCATTATTAACATAAGACTTACATTCATTTTACTTCAGAGCTAGTAAGGTCCACGAGATAATTTTAGAATTTATTGGTTAATCTCTTCCCTATTTAACCACGTGTTATTTAGCGTATAATAATTAACATGTTAGTATACCGGGCGATTAATGGATTAGAAGTTATAGGAAGAATATATTGGGTTATATATAATATGATATTTGAACCAATGATGTATGTGTACACATGATTAATATGTGAACATATGCATTAATATGACTACATATATATGTATGTGTATGTATTAATGTATGTTCATATGTATGATGAATGTATGTATATGCGAACGAATTAAGTTATTTATGAACTTAATTATGTTCCTTTGTAAGAACGCATTCATTCTTTATTCTTTTATATAAACTATAGATTTCGTATAGACAGTATATTTATTTATCTTTTATGTATTATTTTATCAAATATTAGTCTGTAGTAAAAGTATAGTACTAGAGAACCACAGATCAGAGAACCATCACAGAGATAGGCCAGAGAACCATCATAGATACACCAGAGTTCCTAACTTTCCTAACCTCATAAGTTCAAAAAGAACCTTTTTAGTCACATATTGTCCTCCTACATTTACCAAATGCGTGTTAATGCAGCAGAGCCCAGTTTTCGTAAACGAATAGCAATCTACACACGACTCACGGCTGATGACGTTTGAACATTTATCTAACAGTGATTCGCGTTCGTACTACAGACAGCTAGCGAAAAACTGGAGCACGTCAACCATTGTCAGTCGAGTCAGGGCTATCAGCTAGACCTATCATGTGAGATCTACGGCCGCTGGGAGAATTGCTTTGTCTCGTAAGCTAGTCAGCGGTGGATGGTGGCCAACTGAACAACAGACACAGAGGAAAGTTGATCAATGGTGCCCAGTCTGTATCAATTGTGTATCCTCTTTCAAGGAAGGAGAGGTGACCAAGCCACTGGATGCCCCCATCCCAGGCGTACACAGAGAAATGTCAACATACTGGAGTAGGGGATATGACAGGTAGTGACAAACTAATCCAATGAAAAGTGCCAGGTTCCATAAGTGTGCTCAGAGCACATAGTGTAAATATGAGAGGTCCACGACTCCTCAATCTTCCTGCCAATAATTATAAGAAGTATCGCTGTAACTTGATCAGCCTGGCTGTGATGACATCCCGCGATAGGTAAAAAACTTTATAAATCATCCACAGGGAGAACATACACGGAGTAGGGGAACACCATACACGGAGTAGGGGAACACCATACATGGAGGAATGGAGCTCTATACATGAAGTAACAGAGCAACATACATGGGGGGGCTTGGAGCCCCATACAAGGTGGACATGACCCCCCCCCACATGGGGTGGTGGGGGGGGGGTGATGATTGTGCGTGAGACAAATGAACACCACAGACACTAAAAAAGATAACCTAAGAAAATCAAATGGCTGGTTACAAACAAGATATCTTATAAATCATTATTTTTACTACTGAATGTAGTTCGCCCATATGGTTGTCCATTATTTTACAAACTGTAGACTTACACACTAAATTATTTACGTCAAGTCAAATAGAAGCGCTAATGAATTGTGGGAAAAAACTCTAACCTACCTTTTCATATGCTTGTCGTGTCACTGAACTGAATACTTTAAAACGACAGACAACTAAATAAGATCAGAGAACTCAGGGTAGACGAGCATATGTAAAGTCAGCAGAGAATGTTGGGGTGACGGAGGCGGAGTTGTGGACACAGACGAGTCAGCAAGGAAGATGGTGCCTAAGAGGGGCGCTCAAGGAACTCTGACCAAGGAGAGAGAGAGGGGACTGAGAGGGTGCTCCGCAGCTGGGCAGCAACACAGGAGGGAACTGTGGGAATCTTCCACAGCGAGGACTAAGGACCAAGAACCGGAGGAGTGAGCCGAAGGAAGAACTAATGCCGTCTTCCCTGCTCCGACAGACAGGTGCAGTACGACCAAGGTACTCAAGGATAGCTGCTATCGTCTCGGGCAAGGAGAGAGACTTGGAGTGAGTGATAAGGGTGGACACATAGGGGCAAACCAGCTAAAAGCGACGTAATTTTAAGAAGACGGGTTCCTTCCTGACCCCAATTTAAGAGGAACTTCATGATGCTTAGTGAATTTAGGTCCTGGGCTATACGTTGAGACAGGTGGCGCTGCCTGACAGGTGTGTGACGCTGTGATGGATGTGCGAGATGTTACCTGTGACGGGTGTGTGAGTGACGCTGCCTGTGACGGGTGTGTGAGTGACGCTGCCTGTGACGGGTGTGTGAGTGACGCTGCCTGTGACGGGTGTGTGAGTGACGCTACCTGTGACGGGTGTGTGTGTGACGCTACCTGTGACGGGTGTGTGTGACGCTACCTGTGACTGGTGTGTGAGTGACGCTACCTGTGACGGGTGTGAGTGACGCTACCTGTGACGGGTGTGAGTGACGCTACCTGTGACGGGTGTGAGTGACGCTACCTGTGACGGGTGTGTGACGCTACCTGTGACGCTACCTGTGACGGGTGTGTGACGCTACCTGTGACGGGTGTGTGTGACGCTACCTGTGACGGGTGTGTGTGTGACGCTACCTGTGACGGGTGTGTGACGCTACCTGTGACGGGTGTGTGTGTGTGACGCTACCTGTGACGGGTGTGTGACGCTACCTGTGACGGGTGTGTGTGACGCTACCTGTGACGGGTGTGTGTGACGCTACCTGTGACGGGTGTATGGGCAGGGTGGCGGTGAAGCGGAAGCCGTTGGTGGTGTGGGCAGCGAGGCGAGGAGACGAACACAGAGAGGAGGACCTAAGCACAGCCGGCGCCGTCAGGAACTTGTGTACCTCCTGCAGGACACACACAGACAGGTCAGCGTCGCCTCCTGGGGCTACAAGCCCTCTTCCCCACCTCCCCCAGGGGAAGAGGGGGGCTGGACTGGGGTCTGTGACACCCCAGGGACTAGATCGGAGGTCTGTGTCACCCCAGGGGACTAGATTGGGGTCTGTCTCAGAGGGGGGACTAGACTGGGGTCTGTGACACCCCAGGGGACTAGATCGGAGGTCTGTCTCACCCCAGTGGACTAGATTGGAGGTCTGTGTCACCCCAGGGGACTAGATTGGGATCTGTCTCACCCCAGTGGACTAGATTGGAGGTCTGTGTCACCCCAGTGGACTAGATTGGGATCTGTCTCACCCCAGTGGACTAGATTGGAGGTCTGTCTCACCCCAGTGGACTAGATTGGGGTCTGTCTCACCCCAGTGGTCTAGAATGGGGTCTGTCACCCCAGTGGACTAGATTGGGGTTTGTGTCACCCCAGGGGGACTGAACAAAACCTTCTGCCTCACCCAATCCCCTATTCGTATCTACCACCTAACAGGAATGGGGGATACCCGGTGGGATGGCCACCTTTGCACAGGCAAGAGCATCACAAGTGCAACACAGTGAGAGACAACACACTAGAACTCATCAACCACAAGCAACATTTGCAACTCTACGTGCAGGAAGAACATACCATCGCCACTAGCAGGATTAAGTGCAAAAATAAAGTGGTGTTGAATACGTTATACACGTGGTGGAAGTTGAGATGGGGTGAATTTACATGTGAAAGGTGAGATCAAGCTGATGAGTTGAGAGGAAGGGTGGGACAGGAAGGGGGAGGAGATGGGATGGGATTCCTCCTCTTCCACTGTAAGGAATGAGAGGTGGGAAGGCGGTAGGAGGGGGTAGAGTGGGACAGGAGTTCACTACTAAAAGTCATGATGTAAATGAATAATATGTAATTTTGTTTCTATGGCCACAAATTTATGCATAAATTGCAACAATGAAAGATTCGGTGAGGGGGGGGGGGGGTTATGGGTGGTGGTGGTGGTGGGATGGTGTGGTGGTGGTGGTGGTGGTGGTGGTGGTGGTGGTGATGGTGATGATGGTGAGGATGGTGGTGATGGTAGAGAGGTCGTGGAGGTCTTTGAAGAATTTATATAAAATACTGTAATATAAGGATGATGAAATATCAAAATACTGGAATATCAGGGTGCTGGGATATCAAGGTGCTGGAATATCAGGATGATGGAAAATATCAGGATGCTGGGTTATCAGGATGCTAGGATATCAGGATGCTGGAATATTAGGATGAATATGAGGCATGCTGGAATACCATATTATATATATATATATGTATATATATATATATATATATATATATATATATATATATATATATATATATATATATATATATATATTGTGGAGCCAGTCAAGGTCTGAGGGAAACAGTGAGATGGAGAGAGGAGGCAATTAGGCAGAGACAGTGGGTGAGACAGATAAAATGAGAGACGGAGAGAGTGATAAAGACGGGTGTGAGAGTCAATTCGACGGTCATGCCAGACTTCTCCACTACAAGACGTGTTCAGTCTTAGTGCAACCATCAAGCTGAAGACAAAAGCCATGCATTTTGGTCTTACATGGAACACATCTCGCCTTCAAAACTAATGTACATCTAACATTTTTGCTTGTTCGACAAGTTTATTAATCTATCCACATGGATTATGCAACACTACCCTGTCTATACTCTCTCTCTCTCTCTCTCTCTCTCTCTCTCTCTCTCTCTCTCTCTCTCTCTCTCTCTCTCTCTCTCTCTCTCTCTCTCTCTCTCTCTCTCCCCCTACGTGCATCCACAGTCCCCTACTCCTATTATTATACCCTATGCCACGTTTTGCATCCGTCTACCATCCACTATTCTACCTACCATTCTACCCCCCTCCCTCACACATTCACCTAACTCCTCACCCCTCATCTCCCTCACACCCTAAATCTCCCCCCTCACACCCTAAATATCCCTCTCACGGCGCGCGACCAAGAGGTCCAGACCCACCTTGAGGTTGACAATGTCTCTCTTCTCGCCGTAGGTCCCGGTGAAGATGTCGTGGGTGATGGCGCCCGCCTTCTGCCTCCTGGCGCGCCACACGATCAGCAAGATGGCGCTCACCAGCACGATGATGACGGCCACCAGCGCCCCGATCACCAGCGCCACGTACTCTTGGCCCCGCGGCTCCTCCGACACCCCCGTCACCACTGTGGCAGGTATATCTGGGGGTTAGGTTAGGTCAGCACTGGCAGCAGGTATAATAGGGGGTATAATAGGGGGGTATAATAGGGGGGTATAATAGGGGGGGGGGGTATAATAGGGGGGGGTATAATGGGGGGTATAATAGGGGGTACAATGGGGGGTATAATAGGGGGTTATATGTTGGCCATCTCGACAAAGGGGGAAAGACTAGGATTAACTGGCAATTCTTTCCCAAAGTCTGTCGATCCTTCAATTTGGAACAAAATAGGGGACGAGGATTGGGTACAGTGTAGATTAATGGGTAATTGGGTTGATATTTTGCAAGATAATAGGTTTCTTAATGTGAGTATACTCCCAGCTAGGTACACTCAGCCAGGATTGGGTACTTACCCAGGTTGCGGTGAGTCTTATCTCCGAGTGTGTTAGCATCGTCAATGTACCCCGAGGAGGAGTCGTGTTGTGGTGGCCCCGCCGCCGGGTCGGGCGCAGGCTCCTGGGCCCCGGTCTCCACGCTGAAGTTGCCCCGGGCGGGAGCTGTGGGCAGACGGGCCACATCAACTTCTCTTAAATTTAGTGATGATTAACCAACATGGTAATTTAAGACCACACACAAACTATTATATATATAATGTGTGTATGTGTGTGTGTGTGTGTGTGTGTGTGTGTGTGTGTGTGTGTGTGTGTGTGTGTGTGTGTGTGTGTGTGTGTATGTAAGCACACATGTATATAAACTTAAAAATATGATCTGTTAGCCCCCAAAAAATGTATTTTGAAAAGTATAATTTTCCGCTCTCAGGGGCCCTCCATCTCACCCCTCACCGAAACTTCTATAGACCGATCCCAAGGAAATACACATGGAGAGGTGTACCCTATTTACCGGTGTATATACACTAAGTTTACACTAGTCATCGACAAAAGTATACTTACTGGTTTATCTGTTACAAAAATAAGACTGAAAACTTCAAGATTAAGTGTGACATTCAGGTTGGACTAAGTCTCGCCGCCCAAGATGGCCATGGCCAGCTGTCGCGGTAACTTCCAGGGATCAAATATTTAGCTGAATAGTCTACTCTCTAATTACTGTGTTGACTGTCATGAGAACCAGTGTTTATATCGACTTGTAGCGGCGGGTGTCGTTGGTGAGCTGGTGGTAATGGCTGGGTGGGAGGGCAGAGTTGTTTTATTATTCAGTCAGTCCTCAGACAGTGCTGGGACCAGCCCCAACCTGGCCTCAGACAGTGCTGGTCCAAGCTGGGACCAGCCCCAACCTGTCCTCAGACAGTGCTGGTCCAAGCTGGGACCAGCCCCAACCTGGCCTCAGACAGTGCTGGTCCAAGCTGGGACCAGCCCCAACCTGTCCTCAGACAGTGCTGGTCCAAGCTGGGACCAGCCCCAACCTGGACCTCAGACAGTGCTGGTCCAAGCTGGGACCAGCCCCAACCTGTCCTCAGACAGTGCTGGTCCAAGCTGGGACCAGCCCCATCTTGGCCTCAGACAGTGCTGGTCCAAGCTGGGACCAGCCCCATCTTGGCTTCAGACAGTGCTGGTCCAAGCTGGGACCAGCCCCAACCTGGACAGTGCTGGTCCAAGCTGGGACCAGCCCCAACCTGGCCTCAGACAGTGCTGGTCCAAGCTGGGACCAGCCCCATCTTGGCCTCAGACAGTGCTGGTCCAAGCTGGGACCAGCCCCATCTTGGCCTCAGACAGTGCTGGTCCAAGCTGGGACCAGCCCCAACCTGGCCTCAGACAGTGCTGGTCCAAGCTGGGACCAGCCCCAACCTGTCCTCAGACAGTGCTGGTCCAAGCTGGGACCAGCCCCAACCTGGCCTCAGACAGTGCTGGTCCAAGCTGGGACCAGCCCCAACCTGTCCTCAGACAGTGCTGGTCCAAGCTGGGACCAGCCCCAACCTGTCCTCAGACAGTGCTGGTCCAAGCTGGGACCAGCCCCAACCTGGCCTCAGACAGTGCTGGTCCAAGCTGGGACCAGGCCCAACCTGGCCTCAGACAGTGCTGGTCCAAGCTGGGACCAGCCCCAACCTGGCCTCAGACAGTGCTGGTCCAAGCTGGGACCAGCCCCAACCTGGCCTCAGACAGTGCTGGTCCAAGCTGGGGTCGACCCCATAGACGCAAGTCACCAATTTTAACGTACTGTGTAATTAAAAGTGGTATTTTTCATATTTAAATTATTATTTATTAGAACTTAGTTATTCTAAACGCCTAACCTAATTTAGGCCTATGTTGGTAATTATTCATACGTACGTGAAGTATTTAGAGGCGCGGTTTGAATAGCGGTCATTAGAGACGACTTAAGAAATACTCAACAATCATCAGTTGAGAGCCGCGTGTCAAGTGGGGTTTCATTCATAAACAGCTGGTATGGCGGCTGGATTAACGAACCTATCGCCTTTGTTGATGAAGACCGACTAAAAAAGACTAGGAAGGAACTAGCAGGGAACAGACTGGAGTCACTAAATTACAGACCCGTGCCTCTAACAAGTATTCCAGGTAAAATGCTGAAGAAATTAGTGAGGCTGAGAATGTCAGAGCATCTGGCAAGGACCAACTTTAATGAAAGGTCAGCAGGGATTTATAAAGGGAAACCCGTACTTGATAAACTTGGAGTTTATGACAGGAAAAAGATGACTGAGCAGACTATTCCCTAGACGGGGCAAGAAACAATTGACACTTTCACCCATGAAAGACCGCTGTAGGAGAGAGAGAGAGAGAGAGAGAGAGAGAGAGAGAGAGAGAGAGAGAGAGAGAGAGAGAGAGAGAGAGGGGGGGGGGGGGGAGGGAGGCTGGTGGAGGTAACTGGGAAAGTTGCGACCTGGGTAAGGGAGTACCTGAAGGGTAGAAAGCAGAGTCACAGTGATAGAGGCTTCGAGCTTAAAAAATGTAACAAATGGGGTCTCACAAGGTTCAGTCCTGGAACCACTACGTTCCTAATTTATGTGGGCGACCTACCAGAGAGGTAGGACATACATTCACTGTTTACACACGACACAACGCTGACGAGGAATATAAAAACAGGAGACTTCAAAAACATGAACTTACAGAAACTTAAACAACAGAATCAAGCAAATAAATGGAGTTTGAAGTTCAATCCCAATAAGTGTAAGGTAGTGAAGACAGAAAAGCAGAAAAGGATACCAGGAGATATGCACACCATACGGGGGAAGGCAACTACAGGAATCTGAAAGACAGGTCTGAGAGCGCGCACAGTTCCAACGCTCACACAGAAGACACACACAAACAGGGTATCATCAGCAGCACAAGGAACGCTGCCAAATATAAGAACTTTGTTTGGAATCGCCTTCAAGACCATCGTCACAATATATGTTAGACCAATACTGGAATATGCAGCCCCGGCATGGAACCCGCACCTTGCGAGCAATATAGGAAAAGTGCAGAGTTACAACAAGATTGGTACTAGAGCTAAGAGGGTTAAGCTATGAGGACAGGCTAATGAAACTAGATCTCTCAACTCCAGAGGACGGAAGAAACGGGGGACAGTCACAATGTACAAAATACTAAAGGGAATATACAAGATGGACAAGAACCACCACTTTAAACTGGGAGGAAGTAGGCCAGGACACAGGCGCGAGCTGGAGACACAAATGTGTCGCCTTGAGGTGCTTCTTCCTTGAGGTGCTTCCGGGGCTTAGCGTCCCCGCGGCCCGGTCGTCGATCAGGCCATTCCAGTCGAAGGAATGTAAGGAAATACTCGCACCTTATACCGGTGGTCAACAGGTGGAATATACAGGAAGAAGTTGTCGTGGAAGCCGCCTCCATCCACAACTTTAAATGCAGATCCGACAAGTGATTCGATTATTAGGATCATAAAATAAAAATGCAACAGATAAAAGAATGCTATTAGGCGTGGTATAAAGATCTAGATCTCAACCCCCCCCCCCACCACCATTGACATTGATAAGGATGTACCACAACCACCACCTGCACCACTACCACCAACATAACCCTCCCCCCCCCAAACAACCATCATCTCTCTGATTACCCTCACATTCCAACCACCACCACAACCACCAACCATCATTGCTATCAACCGCTAACCAACGAGCCACCCCCCCACCCCCCCCGTGGTAATCCTAGACTCATCTACCCAGCACGCCCCTAACAACCACCTCTACTTGCACCTAAAAAGAGCATCCCATCTGAAATTATAAGTCGTTGTAGACGTAGCGGCACTTGGCACTGTTCCCGGCACTGGAGACAGGAGGAAGAGGGCCATTCCAGTTTTACGACGCTCGTAGGAATGGTGCCCTCAGGGAATCCAGGGCGCGAAATTAGGCAGCGTTGACTTAATTCAGCTTGCTTGTGACGGAGAGTGAGGGGGGGGTAGAAAGGGGGGGGCGGGTAGAGAGGAGTGGGATAGAGAGGGGGATAGAAAGGGGGGCGGGTAGAGAGGCGGGGGGTTAGAAAGGGGGGCGGGTAGAGATGGGGGTAGAGTGAGAGTGAGAGAGAGAGAGAGAGAGAGAGAGAGAGAGAGAGAGAGAGAGAGAGAGAGAGAGAGAGAGAGAGAGGGGCACCGGTCGCTCATCATTTCCTTATAAAGTTATTCACTTCAGACTGCTCGTAAAATGACAAACTCCAGACTTGTGAGAGCGCAGGAAGGGGGAGGTGGGGGGATGGGGAGGGGGGAGAGAAGGGAGGGGGGGAGTGAGAACAGGGGAGGGAGTGAGGGGGAGTTGAGAAAAGATAAGGGGAGGGAATGAGGGAGGGGGAGGGAGTAAAGGGAAAGAGAAGTAGAAAATGTAAATAAATGAGAATGGAAGAGTTAATGGAAGGATGATATATTGAAGACACACACACACACACACACACACACACACACACACACACACACACACACACACACACACACACACACACACACACACACACACACACACACACACACACACACACACACACACACACACACACACACACACACACACACACACACACACACACACACACACACACACACACACACACACACACACACACACACACACACACACACACACACACAAGAACTCAACCTAGACAGGAGGAAGTATTAAACCAACAACAAAGACTTGTGCCCAAACGTGAAGCACTCCTCCACTAAGGAATATTGCCATAAAGAGTGGACACAGAACCTGGATAATGACTACCTACTCTAATTACATAGATATAATGAAGACAATGAAGTCAAACATATCCTCAGCGGGAACAATGAAGGCAGGATCTGGGGCCAGATTCACGAAAGCAGTTACGCAAGCACTTACGAACGTGTACATCTTTCCTCAATCTTTGACGGCTTTGGTTACATTTATTAAACAGTTTACAAGCATGAAAACTTGCCAATCAACTGTTGTTATTGTTATAAACAGCCTCCTGGTGCTTCAGAGCTCATTAACTGTTAAATAATTGTAAACAAAGCCGCCAAAGATTGAGAAAAGATGGACAGGTTCGTAAGTGGTTTCGTGAATCTGGCCCCTGGAAATCTTGGCAAGCAACACCCTAAAATATACTGTTACAGGAAACGGGTGAGATACCAGACAGCTGGAAAACAGCCAATTCTATTATTATACAAATTTATTAGAGGAATCCCTGAACTACTGATCAGTTAGTCTGACATGATTATCCTCTAAAATGATAAAAGGAACGTAGATGGAATTACTCAGAATAACCAAATTTTTTTTAGAATTACCTGAATACAGGAGTTATCATACAGTCCCAATATTGGTAACTAATGTGGAATCTGATTAAATATTCATGTTATAACGACAAACAAGACTCAAACAGGCGGTGGGCGACGTCATTCCAAGTGGCCGATGCGTTCAGATCGTCGACTGAACGCATCGACGACTCAACAGAACCCGGAAACAAACTTCTATTCCACTTGACGCTAAGGCCCACTTTCCCACCGCCCTGATCCCCCACACTACACCATACTGTAGAAGAGGGAGGGAAACAGAGAGCTAAACCACAGCGGTAATACGTGTGGGATGGAGAGGGAAGGGGGAAGGAGAGGGAAGGGAGGGGGGGGAAGGAATGGGAGGGGTAAGAGAGCACTTGTAGACTCTGTGGGAGGGGTAAATACACAAGACAAAATGGCTAATGCCAGGTCTCCAGATTTCCAGGTTTTGAGAGTTTTAAACCAAAAAAGAGACAGAGTGTAGGGTGAGAGTGTAGGGTGAGAGTGTAGGGTGAGAGTGTAGGGTGAGAGTGTAGGGTGAGAGTGTAGGGTGAGAGTGGAGGGTGAGAGTGGAGGGTGAGAGTGGAGGGTGGGAGTGGAGGGTGAGAGTGGAGGGCGAGAGTGGAGGGCGAGAGTGGAGGGTGAGAGTGTAGGGTGAGAGTGTAGGGTGAGAGTGTAGGGTGAGAGTGTAGGGTGAGAGTGTAGGGTGAGAGTGGAGGGTGAGAGTGGAGGGTGAGAGTGGAGGGTGAGAGTGGAGGGTGAGAGTGTAGGGTGAGAGTGGAGGGTGAGAGTGTAGGGTGAGAGTGGAGGGTGAGAGTGGAGGGTGAGAGTGGGTTTAGCGTAATGAAACAAGACAGGTTGCAGCCAGCATCTCCTACCTGTCGCTCCTCCCACTTCTGTACTAGATATATCTAAGAGGTCCTGGGATAAGGCTTGGTTGTTAGTGTGGGAGAGAGGGAGAGGGAGAGGGAGAGGAACAACACAAAAGACAACATTGTGTCACATTTTACACTTGAGCAACAATGCGAGATGCACTAAAGTCCTCTCCCCAGCAACTTAATCCTCACAGATGAGGATCAGCCAGTATAGGTGACTCCTCTCACCACTCCTCACTGTTCCTCTGCATGAGGCGGGAATCTGGTCTCTACCCCTCACTCCTTTTCCTCGTGGAGTGAGAGATCCTTCCCCCTCCAATCCCCTCTAACCTTCCTCTCACCGCTACCTCCTTCCCTACCCTCCCCCAAACCCCCATTAACATACCCTAACCCCCTCCTCTCCTACCCTACCCTCACTACCCCACCAGGTGCCCTCGGGTACTCACTGGAGACGAAGAAGACCTCTGAGAGGAGGATCCAGCGAGCCTGGAAGTAGAGCTGGAGCTTGACGAACTTGGCCACCCGGTGATGGAGTTTGATGGTGACGTTGCGGGCGTACTCGGAGACCGTGTCCTGCATGTACTGGTACTCCTCCGCCCGCGGGCTGTAGTACTTCCCGCCCACGCTGAACTGCACCCGCCCACGCGAGAATACCTGGGCGTGGGAAGATGGGAGCACAGGTGAGATGGGCGTGTTCTGGGAGGGAGGGAGAGAGGGATGGCGTGTATTCTGGGTGGGAGGGAGGGAGGGCAGATGTGAATGGAGGGACAGCCTGCACGGAGGGAGATATACAGGTAGCACGTAAGTAATTAACACAGTTGCCAAAGACTGTGGCATCACACTCCACCTGTATGATCAGAGAAAGTAATTGTTTAATCATCATATAATGCTGAGGTTGGTCTTGTGTCTGTGTGATTGATATAACTTATAGAGAAGGAAGGAGGCGAGTCCTGCTCCCTCGTGTTCCCCACATATCTCTGTTCGATACCTCTTACTATCCACTACAGAGTTTTTTATCCAGGCACGTAAACAGTCCCCAAGGCCTCTTCCAATCACGTGTGATCCCATTTCCGTATCGAAATAAAGATCATTATATTACACCTGCTCCAATTAAAGTCGCTTTTTTCAGAAGTCTGGTGGGAACGGTCTGAACATCAGAGCAACACTGTCGGGACGTTGGTGATCTTACTGCTATGTACAAACCCAACATCCTCAAAGTTCCGCACCTGGCCCAACTCCGTGGACTACCAGTAGTTGCCACCCATAGCACTAGGCTCTCAACCTTCAACAGTCTCATGCTGGAAGTGCCATTCTCAAGAACATCACTCCATCAGCGATCATACACTCCGAGGCTGACTCGCATCTGGAACTTGTTGGCCCAACAGATTAATACACGGGAGATCAGGTCACCTGATCACATGAAGGCTCTGGCACACAGTTGTCTACAGCCTCATCCTCTTATATGATTGTTACCTAATGTTGTTAATGAATAAGGTGTATTAATATTGATGCATATAAGATGCGCATGAAATAAATAGGTCTTTATATAGGATTAGGTTTCAATTGAGGTGAGGTTGGATTACATCTTTTACTTGTAGTGTCGCCAGGTACGTCAGTTGACGTCATTTATGAACACTAGTCTTAGTTAACAAAATACAACAGTACAAAAAAGACTGGCACAGAGAGAGAGAAAGAGAGCGAGAGAGAGAGGAAGAAAGAGGAGAGGGACGGATGGAGATGGGAAGAAGAGAGAGAGAGGGGGGGGAGAGTATTTGTGTTGGTGCTCATGTCGTTATGGTTACCGGAAGCAGCAGCACGCGCACATGCACGCACACACGCACGCACGCACACTTATGTACATATCTACACACACACCTACACATATCCCTGCATCCGTTACCACAACTACCACTGTCATTATCACCACCAGTACCACCACAACCACCACCACAGTCACCACCACAGCCACAGCCACCACCACCACAAGGAAGAGCATCACGCCGCCTCCCTCCCTGCTACAGGTCAGCCAGACTCAGCAGGGAGACGGGCAGCTAAGGTGATGGACATGACAATTATAACCTGTGGCACCCGAGTCCTGGAGAGCAACCTAATTACTTCTGGGTGCACGAGAGAGAGAGAGAGAGAGAGAGAGAGAGAGAGAGAGAGAGAGAGAGAGAGAGAGAGAGAGAGAGACAGAGACAGAGAGACAGAGAGACAGAGAGAGAGACAGAGAGAGAGACAGAGAGAGAGAGACAGAGAGACAGAGAGAGAGACAGAGAGAGAGACAGAGAGAGAGAGAGAGAGAGAGAGACAGAGAGAGAGACAGAGAGACAGACAGAGAGACAGAGAGACACAGAGAGACACAGAGAGACACAGAGAGACACAGAGAGACACAGAGAGACAGAGAGAGACAGAGAGAGACAGAGAGAGACACAGAGAGAGAGAGAGACAGAGAGAGAGAGACAGAGAGAGAGAGACAGAGAGAGAGAGACAGAGAGAGACAGAGAGAGACAGAGAGAGAGAGACAGAGAGAGAGAGACAGAGAGAGAGAGACAGAGAGAGAGACAGAGACAGAGACAGAGAGACAGAGACAGAGACAGAGACAGAGACAGACAGAGAGAGACAGAGACAGACAGAGAGAGACAGAGACAGAGACAGACAGAGAGAGACAGAGACAGACAGAGAGAGACAGAGACAGAGACAGACAGAGAGAGACAGAGACAGAGAGACAGAGACAGAGACAGACAGAGAGAGACAGACAGAGACAGACAGAGACAGACAGAGACAGAGACAGACAGACAGAGACAGACAGCGATACACCTATACATCCAGAATCGAAAATACATGTGAACGTTCTTGAGCCATGAGCCTGCAACAGCCTACAACAGCCTGCAACAGCCTGCAACAGCCTACAACAGCCTACAACAGCCTGCAGCATGCTACCAGAGACATACAAGGTGGTGACAGATCCAATTCAATATCGAGTTGGTCCGCTGCTCCCACCAACTCTGGGTCCAGTCTCTCCTCCTCCGTCTACAGCTGCTGCAACTGTCAATCACACGGCAACTGCAATATTGACTGCTCAAAACACTCGCAGTTTGGAGCCAACTGCTAGAAGGACTGAACTGGCACAGACACAGTACTGTACTCGCCATCAGAGTCAAGCTTGTCAAGCTCATCAGCAACTAGAGCAAGGTCCACAGCAATGACAACAAGGTCCACAGCTACAACTGAATGAGCAACAAGGCGCAGGCGGTGAAAAAGAGACAGTCCCTTGCCTGACCAGTTGGCGGGGAAGGGGGGTGTAGCCACGGCTGCCGTGGGTACAATGTACGTGTCAGCTACCCAGCCACCCATACCCCAGCAGGCCACCCATACCCAAGGTTTGGGAGTTATTTTCTGCCTTACACGAGACAACAGATCTGTGTACCATTAGCCATTCACAGCCTGGAGGGCAGCCACCCCTCCCACACCTGCCTACACACACACACACACACCTGCAAGCGAGAGAAGCCAGTTCATTAGCATAATGTGTCAACATCATTACCACTGTTGGTGATCTGTCGCCCAGTCTCGTCAACACTGACAGTCCTGGTGTGGCTGTTGTGCTGGAAAAGTTTCCAGACGACACGACTCCTGAGACCTTTGCTAAGGTGGCTGGCCACACCTTATGGCTGCGTCCTAACGCGCGCGAAGGAGTTCTCTATTTCAGAAAATATGTGCATCCTCATCTGTCTTGACAGTGGCGTACATGATAATTTGGAGATGTATTTTGAAAATTATGCTTGAATCCTGGAATCAATGATTGATCCTTAGTCAATTTCCTCATAGTCAATCTCCAACAAGGTTGCAACTTCCTTTTAATGCAACATGGCATGATTTATGTAGAGGACCTCAAGCAGAATGTCATACCTTGCGACACTGATGAACTCTCTCGTTTTTTAACCTGGAAAAAAATTATCTTCGCCGCTCCTGCTACAGGTTCTCCCCTTGATCAAGACTGACGTATCCGGCGGCAGAGGTCACTATAGGCCCCTGTTACCTAGCAGTAAAATAGGTACCTGGTTGTTAGTCAGCTGTCACGGGCTGCTTCCTGGGGGTGGAGGCCTGGTCGAGGACTGGGCCGCGGGGACACTAAAGCCCCGAAATCATCTCAAGATAACCTCAAGATAGGTCCATGGGATATACTGGCTCTCCAGAATGCCTTCACTGCTATCCTGACGGCACAGTGTCACACCACTACCTGTGAACTGTGATATGACACTGAGGATGTTGACGAGGCGCGGGGTAACAAGTGTCGTGAGAGGAGACATGTAAGTACCTCACCTCACCTTTAACCTCATGTTCACAAGGGTTTTATACGTACCTCATTATAATTTTAATGTCATTTCAGAATATTAAATTCTTGGGTGTTGATGAGATGTTTTCTATATGTATAGTTTTACCGACTTTTAACAGTTGGTTGTATGAATGACCGAGTTGTTCAGAAGCTCTGGATAATCTCTTGTCTTAACTCTTATTTTATTGATACTAATGGACACAGATCATACATGGTGTCACACCCGACACCACTAACTCTCACCCGACACCACTAACTCTCACCAGACACCACTAACTCTCACCCGACACCACTAACTCTCACCCGACACCACTAACTCTCACCCGACACCACTAACTCTCACCCGACACCACTAACTCACACCAGACACCCCTAACTCACACCAGACACCGCTAACTCACACCCGACACCCCTAACTCACACCAGACACCACTAACTCTCACCAGACACCCCTAACTCACACCAGACAACCCTAACTCACACCAGACACCCCTAACTCACACCAGACACCACTAACTCTCACCAGACACCCCTAACTCACACCAGACACCCCTAACTCACACCAGACACCCCTAACTCACACCAGACACCACTAACTCACACCAGACACCCCTAACTCACACCAGACACCACTAACTCACACCAGACACCACTAACTCTCACCAGACACCACTAACTCTCACCAGACACCCCTAACTCACACCAGACACCCCTAACTCACACCAGACACCCCTAACTCACACCAGACACCACTAACTCACACCAGACACCCCTAACTCACACCAGACACCACTAACTCACACCAGACACCACTAACTCACACCAGACACCCCTAACTCACACCAGACACCACTAACTCACACCAGACACCCCTAACTCACACCAGACACCCCTAACTCACACCAGACACCCCTAACTCACACCAGACACCCCTAACTCACACCAGACACCCCTAACTCACACCAGACACCCCTAACTCACACCAGACACCCCTAACTCACACCAGACACCCCTAACTCACACCAGACACCACTAACTCACACCAGACACCCCTAACTCACACCAGACACCACTACTCACACCAGAAACCACTAACTCACACCAGACACCCCTAACTCACACCAGACACCACTAACTCACACCAGACACCCCTAACTCACACCAGACACCCCTAACTCACACCAGACACCCCTAACTCACACCAGACACCCCTAACTCACACCAGACACCACTAACTCACACCAGACACCCCTAACTCACACCAGACACCCCTAACTCACACCAGACACCACTAACTCACACCAGACACCCCTAACTCACACCAGACACCACTAACTCACACCAGACACCACTAACTCACACCAGACACCCCTAACTCACACCAGACACCCCTAACTCACACCAGACACCCCTAACTCACACCAGACACCACTAACTCACACCAGACACCCTAACTCACACCAGACACCACTAACTCACACCAGACACCCTAACTCACACCAGACAACCCTAACTCACACCAGACACCACTAACTAACTCACACCGCTAACTCACACCAGACACCACTAACTCACACCAGACACCACTAACTCACACCAGACACCACTAACTCACACCAGACACCCCTAACTCACACCAGACAACCCTAACTCACACCAGACACCGCTAACTCACACCAGACACCGCTAACTCACACCAGACACCCCTAACTCACACCAGACACCCCTAACTCACACCAGACACCACTAACTCACACCAGACACCACTAACAAGTACAGACCCGAGTGTCCCTGACCACTGGAGCAGTGCTCACACAAGATTCGCGTGACCTCTGACCTCTGCTAGGTCACTAGTGGCAGCATAGCACCCTGAAGGCCAACTAGTGTGATGTGCCACTTACCTGCACATCCTTGGTGTGCATGTTGTTGGTGAAGATGTGCAGTGTTGAGAAGTTCCTGACGGAGTTGAACTCGAAGCTGATCTCCAGCGGCGATTGAGAGTCGTTCCTCCAGCCCACCCACTCGTACCCTGGGGCACACGACAGGTAGGTGTCAACACATCAGTATGCAAATGAGCCTCGCTTGGAGGATACAGGACTTGATACATATATTGCAATTACAGTGGCATCAGTAATTATATTCAACGTTATTGTGTAGTTTGGTACTTTGTCACATTCAAACAATGCAAAGGTGTCTCCCTTCCCCTTCTACACCTTTGTCTCACCTGTTCTCCCTACCTCACCTCTCTTCCTCCCTCACCTCTCCCTCCCTCCCTCACCTCTCTCCCTCCCTCCCTCACCTCTCTCCCTCCCTCCCTCCCTCACCTCCCTCCCTCACCTCTCCCTCCCTCCCTCCCTCCCTCACCTCTCCCCCTCACCTCTCTCCCTCCCTCCCTCCCTCCCTCCCTCCCTCACCTCTCTCCCTCCCTCACCTCTCTCTCCCTCCCTCACCTCTCTCTCCCTCCGTCCCTCCCTCACCTCTCTCCCTCCCTCCCTCCCTCCCTCCCTCTCTCCCTCCCTCCCTCCCTCCCTCCCCCTCCCTCCCTCCCCTCCCTCCCTCACCTTTGCCGTGTCCAATATCGGTGCGGAAGTTGTGGTCTCCGACGATGCCGTCGTGCAACTGGCCGAGGCCCCCGTAGAGGAAGCCCTCAGTGGTGGTGCCGTCGTAGCTCAGGTCCAGCAGCTCAACCTCTACCCCGCGGTCCTGTCCTTGTGGCATGGAGTACGACACCAGACCGTCTGTCAGGGAGACACAAGGGTTAGTATGGCGGAGGAAGGGGAAGATCGGAGTAGGTGAGGGTGTGGACACAGAGGGGACAAGGGAGGGGGTGGGGACACAGGGGGACAAGGGAGGGGGTGGGGACACAGGGGGACAAGGGAGGGGGAAGACAGTGGTTAATAGGAATGAGGAAATGAAAGGTTGGGGGTTTTAATACGTGTGAGGGAGGCAGAAAATGGGATTTAAAGAATTTCAAGACATCAATCCCGTCTTCAGGGAGAGGAGAGAGTGTGTGAGTGTGTGTACTCACCGAGTTTCACTCTCCTGGTTGAGCTCTGGCTCTATAGACCCGCCTCTCACCTGTCAATCAACTGTTTTTTTTATTGTTGAGCTTCGAGGAGCTAAAGATATATAAATATAATTCATATGTAGGTAAAGATTATTGATCTGCTGGTGACGTAGTAATATTTTCAGTGTATCACCTTTGACCTGTACAATTTGGTGGTTGAAAGTGACTATATTTGTCCATGTGGGGACCGTTTTTCACAGACTACTGACTTTGTCAGTCCTTATAAGGACTTCGACTAAGTCCTTATAGTTAGGACTTAGACTAAGTCCTTATAGTTAGGACTTAAGGACTTAGGATTTATTGAGGGCATGGTGGAGAGAGAGTTCCTAGGGACTGGGACTTAGGACTTATTGAGGGCATGGTGGAGAGAGCCCCCAGGGACTTTGCAGTTTGTTAAGGTGTAGTGACTTAAGTTGCTCAGTACTATAAACTTTAACGTTGCGGTGTCTAGAAAGTCTGATATTGACAGTCCTTATATAGGGACTTTAAAGTTGGATGTCACCTTGAGTACAACCTAACCACGTCAACTTAGATGCACTGCTGACAAGTGTACCAATGTTCCTAAGTTTTAGGAAAACTTAAGCTCATGACTAGATTAACTTTACAGCATCTAGTAAATCTAGTGCACTAGTGTTGTTGAGTTCCGTGTACCTTAAGCTTGACCTGTGTACCGTAGCAGCATCTAGCGTCAGTGACAAGTGCCTATGTTGATTAAACTTTAATATTTGTAAGTAATATTTGTAAATAGAGTCCAAATACTGTCCCAGAGTACAAATATACTTATGAGAGTATAAGTCACCCATCTAAAGTGGTGCGTCGTTTACCGTAGACTTTCTGTAACACTTGACTTTGTGAATTAAGTTGTGATTAAACTTGGGGGCAGAAGTGCCTGATATGGAGAAGGGAGAGTGTACACCACTAACCCCCCCCCCTCTCCCACCACATCCCCTTTCCCATCAGATCTCCCTTCCCTTCCCATCCCCCCCCCCCCCTGCCTCACGGCGCTCTCATCCGGACAAATTAAAGCCAGCCTGGAACAGAAGTGAACATCAAATCGGACAGATAAAACCATGAGAGGGGGGGGGGTATCCCCAGGCATGTTCGGATAAGCGAGGTTGAGAGCGTCGCAATGATCACACTGTAATTAAGTCAACGTTTATGCCCCCTGGTGGTCATTGTACGAGAGGTCAGAGGTCGCCGGCCACCATACGGAGAGTATTTTGGGGGGAGTTTTCAGGGCAGAGGAAATGTCAGTATATGTAAATTTCTGGGCTGTCGAGGGTGCTTTGGTAGTGGCATTGTGCAGGCAGACAGGGGAGGGTTAGGCAGGCAGGCAGGGGTTAGGCAGGCAGGAAGGCAGGCAGGCAGGCAGGCAGGCAGGCAGGCAGGCAGGCAGGCAGGCAGGCACACAGGCAGGGGAGGGATAGGCAGGCAGGGAGGCAGGCAAGGAGACAGGCAGGCAAGGAGACAGGCAGGCAGGCAGGCAGGCAGGCAGGCAGGCAGGCAGGCAGGCAGGCAGGCAGGCAGGCAGGCAGGCAGGCAGGCAGGTAGGCAGGCAGGCAGGTAGGCAGGTAGGCAGGCAGGCAGGGGTCAGGCAGGCAGGTAGGCAGGCAGGCAGGCAGGGGTCAGGCAGGCAGGCAGGGGTCAGGCAGACAGGCAGGCAGGCAGGCAGGGGTCAGGCAGACAGGCAGGCAGGCAGGCAGGGGTCAGGCAGACAGGCAGGCAGGCAGGCATGGAGGGGAAGGGTTAGGCAGGCATGGAGGGGAAGGGTTAGGCCGGCATGGAGGCAGGTCAGACCACACCATACTAGGCCAGGCCAAATAACGTGGGGCCTCAGTAAACAAAATAATATCACACAAACCAACTACACAAAAATCCAAGAAAATGCAAGGTGAAAGGCCGCCCATAAGCCTATCCCTGGAGGAATATGTAAACGGAGTAACACCAGCGAGGTGTGCGATGCTGGCACGTACATTCCTCTATACTCCAAGAGCCAGCTGGGAGCTGAAACCTATCTATGCTTCGTCAGTACTAGAATATGTAGCCATAATGTGGGATTCCCATTTGTAAAACACACACACACAGTTCACACAGTAGTTAGTAAAACAGTTAAATGACAGTTGAGAGGCGGGCCGAAAGAGCAAAGCTCAACTCCCGCAAGCACAACTAGGTGAGTACACGCACGCACAATAGGCCGCCATATTGGAACACACACATATAACCTTCCTGGCCGCCATATTGAAACACTTGCGAAGTTTCCTTGACTACCACACTCAAACGTTTCACCTGTCCTCTCTGGCCGCCATGTTTCAACATTTACATCCACAAGCGGCAAAGGGCCACTAAATTACTACTGATACCTCCCCCTCCCTCCCTGCTCCCCCCCTTGCAGCTGTTGGCACCGCGGCCTGCAGTGTTGCACACCATATGTTTCCAAGGTGTGGGATGCTGGTGTATGTTGACCGTGTCTGTCCCTCTGTGTGCTCTGATGCCTCGGTGGTACAGCATTCAACGTTCGTGTACTTCAGTGTTCGTGTACATCAACATTCGTGTACACAGTCTACAAACTAGGAGCTGTTAATGTACATTAGATCATCTTAAATCCTGGGAATATAAAATTATTGATTTATAAATCAAAATAGAATTTATTCATATTAGGAGGAAGCAAGCGTATATGGTAAGTTTATGAGGAATATATAAATGTGGTATATTTATATTAGGGTAAAGGTGGAGCCATCTATTGGCTGGCTGGTCAGTTGACTTGTCGAACAAAGGCGAGGCAGGCTGGTAATTACTCCTCCCTGATGGAACTATGTCCTGGAGCGACCAGACTGTGTTGGATAGCCCCATAATAGAATTTGCTTGTTTCACCAGATTCCTAGAATGGTTACCCCCACTCTATATCATTTTACGTGATATACCCCTTACCTTTACATACCTTTACCCTAATATACCCTTTAATTTTCCCTTTTAACCCTCCCCCCCCCCCCCCCCCCCCACCATCACCTCAACGCGTTCTTAAATTCAGTGTAGTGGACGAGACTAAGTGAACTCTGGGTGGTGAACTCCGTAGAGTTATCAATGCTTCCCCTTGGCCCAAAATTGAAGTTGAATTAGACCTAGGTAACCCCATCTATTGTCAAGACTATATTATTCCAAACTTTCGGGTCTAACTGGATAGACATTACTGACTACCAAAGGCCTGAAAGCACTAGTATAAAAAATCTGATTTGTTCAGATCCGAAACCTATGTATATGGGCAGCACAAAACGTGGACCAGACTGTGCGACACAGTGGTTGCCAGGATCAGGTTGGGTTACCTGTGGCAGGTGGCTACCGTTACCTGTGGCTGTCCAGTACACCAGCTGAGAGAGCGACAGACAGACAGACAGACACACACACACACACACATACACACAACTAGGTGAGTACAACTAGGTGAGTACACACACACACACACACACATACGAGGGGGCCTCGTAGCCTGGTGGATAGCGCGCAGGACTCGTAATTCTGTGGAGCGGGTTCGATTCCCGCACGAGGCAGAAACAAATGGGCAAAGTTTCTTTCACCCTAAGTGCCCCTGTTACCTAGCAGTAAATAGGTACCTGGGAGTTAGTCAGCTGTCACGGGCTGCTTCCTGGTGTGTGTGTGTGTGGTATGGGAAAAAAAAAATAGTAAGTTAGTAGTTAGTTAGTAAACAGTTGATTGACAGTTGAGAGGCGGGCCGAAAGAGCAAAGCTCAACCCCCGCAAAAACACAACTAGTAAACACAACTAGTAAACACAACTAGTAAACACACACACACACACACACACACACACACACACACACACACACACACACACACACACACACACACACACACACACACACACACACACACACACACACACACACACACACACACACACACACACACACACACACACACACACACACACACACACACACACACACACACACACACACACACACACACCATACCCCTATACCCACCTGTGTAAGGGCAACCGATGAGTTCTACCCTCATACAGACAGTCCGTGGATGGGGGGAGTAGGGTACGAACCGCACCTTGGAGGCCAGGATAGGGGGCACCAGTTCGTTCCTCACAGCCATGTACGTGTTGCTGTTGCCCTTCAGGATCTGAAACACACAAATCTCCGAGGTAGAGAACATGTCTCTCTGCTTCACTTAGCAATACTCAAGAATCAGTTAACGAATCGATAACAACCTTCTGATTAACGTTAACTTAAACGTAGTACACGACAATTAATGTAGACAATATAAATAGTTAAATTACTCGGATTAAGCAACTGGTTAGTGAAGAGATGTTGAGATATGGTGGACAGGCATTCAAAGAGAACCCACACGTCTTAGAAGAGAACCTACATTTCTCAGAAGAGAACCCACCTTTCTCAGAAGAGATCCCCACACGTCTCAGAAGAGAACCCACATGTCTCAGAAGAGAACCCACACGTCTCGGCAGAGAACCCACACGTCTCAGAAGAGAACCCACATGTCTCAGAAGAGAACCCACACGTCTCGAGAACCCACACGTCTCGGCAGAGAACCCACACGTCTCAGAAGAGAACCCACACGTCTCAGAAGAGAACCCACACGTCTCAGAAGAGAACCCACACGTCTCAGAAGAGAACCCACACGTCTCGGAAGAGAACCCACACATCCTAGGCGACTACATACCCCTAGGAGCATGCACATATCCTGGAAAAGCGCACACATCCTCAGAGAACGCACCCATCTTATGAGAGCGCGCACAACCTCAGAAGATCGCGAGCGTTCACACGCTTATATAAGGACACTACAATATGTCTGGCAACCCAGCCTCATTTCCTCATGTCTCATTCCTCACACGTCCTGCCTCGTAGCCAACATGTACACCCAGCCCACAACACAACAGGAGTGCCACGAGCAGTGCCAAAAGCACCATTAATCAGGTCGTCATTAGCCCGCTCCAAGAGGCACTATAATGGTGCCATGGAGGTGAATAGATGCATGGTGGGTGCTGGAGAGAGGGGGTGAGGGGGGCAGGAAGGGAGAGATGAGTTTGATGAGTGTATGGATGAATGAAGCTATGGGAGGTAGGTAGTATCAACACACACAATTAGAGGTTTGGTTAATGACTAATTTGATGCCTTAATGACTTAAGACCCCAAAATGGTACCATGTGAATACCACCTGCATATGCAAGACTAGCAAAGGTCTACTTTTCAAAAACTGAGCACGGAATCCCTCAGAATAACACACACGACGTATGTCAGACCAATCCTAGAGTATGCAGTTCCAGTATAGCACCCGACACCTACACCCCCTCCCTTTAACACGTCCCTACCCCTGATATATCACCTGTTTGTTTCTTATATTAATATTCCTATCCTCTACCTTCACCTACCTCCTACTTCCCAACACCCCCTTCCCCCCTACTCCCTTCTACCTCCAACTTTCCCTACTCCCTCCTACCTCCATCCCCCCACCTACCCCTCCCCAAATGACACACACACACACACACACACACACACACACACACACACACACACACACACACACACACACACACACACACACACACACACACCAGCAATATCACAAGTCAAACCATTGGAAGAGACTAAAAGATGACCAAATCACTGGCTGTAAATACTACTTTGCCTTCCCCCACCCCCTCCTCCCACCCCACGCACTCCTCCCCACCCCAGGCATTCTCCCCACCATTCCCCCGTCTCCCCCACCCCCTCCCCAGCGCACAACAGCACCCCACCCGGGATATTTAGCAGAGAGCGCGACATTAGGCCCTGAATATCGGGCAATATCATGCATAATGTAGTGGGGGGAGAGTAGGGGTCCCGCCCCCCCCATAGAGGGGGAAGGGGGAGAGGAAGTGTGGAAGGGGAGTTGATGTGGAAGAAGGGGGGGGGGGTAGTGTGGAAGAGAGGGATAGGTGTGGGTAGGGTAGGTGACGAAGATGGGCTAGAGACAGGAACACGAGAGTGAGTAATGAGTAAGATGGTAGGAAGATGGAATGGGCAGAAGGTGAGAGGGAAGGGCATATGGCCTGAAAGGAGGGGGGGGGGAGCAAGAAAGGCAGGGGGAGGGGGAGCAAGGAAGGCAGAGACCGCAAGAGGCCACGAGACAGAGAGGAAGGAGAGGAGGCACAAGAGGCTGAGTGCCTCTTCCTTGCCCACTCAGAGTGGCCCTCATCTACATAAGGGCCAATACTGGAATGAAAAGGATAAAGATAGTGGCATATAGTCTTGCAGGGGGCGCCCCCTGCCCCCGCCCCCCTGTTCACACTCGGTACATGTGGTGCGGAGGGGTGTGGTGGGGAGGGGTGTGGTGGGTATAAATGGAGGGGGAGAAGAGAGTTGAGGAGGAGCTATAGTAAGACCAAATGAGGAAAGAGGTAAAGGTCGGGGGCTGGTAGGAGGCATGGTGGGCTGGTAGGAGGCATGGTGGGCTGGTAGGAGGCATGGAGGGGGCTGGTAGGAGGCATGGAGGGGGCTGGTAGGAGGCATGGAGGGGGCTGGTAGGAGGCATGGAGGGGGCTGGTAGGAGGCATGGTGGGCTGGTAGGAGGCATGGTGGGCTGGTAGGAGGCATGGAGGGGGCTGGTAGGAGGCATGGAGGGGGCTGGTAGGAGGCATGGTGGACTAGTCGGAGCCATAGTAGGCAGGTAGGAGGCATGGAGGGGCTGGTAGGAGCCCTCACACCATCAACTGTTGGTTGGTTAAAGATATCTCTGCAGTCCATTACAGTCTGGATAGTTAATAAGGTTACTTGTTTAACAAATGCAGCCACCACTCCTCCCAGTTACTTTTAAAACTTAGGCTAATTAACTCTGTAGGAGATTATTCAACTAGCACCAGTAACTTTGGGAACTTAACCTTTTTTATATATTGATGAACAAATCCACAAGGGCCGTGACGAGGATTCGAACCTACGTCCGAGAGCATCCCAGACGCTGCCTTAATCGACTGAGCTATGACATGGTAAAAAAAAAAAAAAAAAAAGAGTTGAAACCAGAAGTTCTACTGAACTTACTTGGATCCTGCAGCCTCTCCGTGACACAAACCAGGGTTTTACACAACTCCCCCCATGCACTCGAGCTATGTCAATATACACAACTCCCCCACTCGAGCATGGGGGAAATTGTGTGGTGCAACACAGCCCATTATGTTCAGTCAATTGGTTGTAGACCCAGGAAAGGATGCATTTGTTAATTTAGGGGCGACGACGACTGTGGGACTAGGAAGGGGTAGAGCTTGAGGGCAAGGTGCCTTTAGGGTTGGAGGCTAGACTTCACCTTCAAGGATGGAAGAGCCAAAGATTTTAGAGTGTCAACTGGGAGTGCAAAGAGGGGGTGAGTGATCTAACACAAAGCGACAACATCGGCTGAGGAGAGCAGTGGAAAGGTAATGTCTGCGAGATTCACAGCACAACGGGTAGTCCATCAGTAATTATAAGGTGTTTTCCAGATTCCTTTATAAATTGTTAGCAAAGATTTATAGGTCAATAACAAATACATATTGTAGATTATGATTTCAAATTTATCACACTAATTTGTGAAAGGCAGAATAAGAGAATATTACAAATGACCAAAATAACATAAATTTCAAGATATTTATGATTATAAAACACTGTACATAGGTTTGGACATAATGTATATACATGTTTTTATGTATTATCTGTTTTACAGTTTTTCCCAGTAAACATCTGCACCTTATGACAGCCTCTGACATTGTTGAAATTATGGCTTGCATTGTTACTGTATTCAAAGTATATTAGCCTTGATTAGGACTGACGAAGAGCACTTAAGACATTAATTAGTTTCTAAACGAAATTTCAGCATATCATTTTATAAAGAATTAAAACTGCAAGTCTCTCTAAATTGTTAAGGAATATTCTTATCTAAGGAAATCTTAACACACAGTGCCAATCAAAAATACTGGCTTCTTTTCTTGTGTTTCTATTAAAAATAATCAGTCTGACATTGCTAATATAGAATTAAAATGGCGAAAATTACTATAGGCTGTATGTAGACCACGGGACGAGTTCCTGAATCCATTATTTATGAATCTCGAAAGCTTTTAACCGCTGTTTTGATTTATAATATACTGATTAAAGTAAATCAATATATTACTTATTACTTATTATATTAAATTATAATATTACTGATTAAAAGTAACTAACGGAATGTAAAACATTGGAGCGCAAACTAGCACAGCACGAGAAATTGAAATTGAAATAAGTTTATTCAGGTAAAATACACACAAAGGGATGAGGTAGCTCAAACTATTCTCACCCCGTTCAGTATATCGTGTTACTACATACATAGACACACATCACAAGCAATAAACGTATTACCGAACATTCTGAGAGATAAACATATACATTAACTAGCACAGCACGAGGATATGGTCGTTAAGCACTGTGACGTCACCAATGACGCTGTGTTAGGCAAGAAGGTCAGGAGCGGACGGCGTCGCCTCAGTGTCGGGCTGACAGCCAACAGACGTAGTTCCTTAGGCGGTGTCCCGCTTCTTACTTCATTTGCAGCTACACCGGTCATCAGGTAAGGTTACCGTGGACTTTATTGCTCAATGTATTAACTCATATAAGGTGTCGATATTTAATTATGGTGTGACCTGGTTGTTGGCGTAGCGTAATGTGGGCTTTGTTATCTGTGATGCCTTTATAGAGACGGTGATATTTGGGTGGCGTATGATAGAATTGGTAAAGTTATTTACATGGAAACCTAGTTGATGTATCCTAACAATAGTATTAATAATTAGCTTCGTTTAAGGTTTAGCCGTACAGCATTAACTGGTCCACAATTTTTTTTTTTTTTTTAAATCTGCATTAGAACGGGCAAGTCTAAATATCTGGGCAGTACGTAAGGTATTTAAGTACGTGGCACGTTTAAAATGCAATAATTATTAGAGTAATAAGTAAAAGATACAATTTCCTGCAGAATTTTGGTGATTTGTTGCTAAATTTTAGCCAGCTGTCATATTACTTAAATTTTTAAATGGCTTCTAGGTACTGAAAGGCACTAAATGTACCGCTTATTCCTTTGGCGTAGCGTTGATAGTAGTTGGTGGCAGTTTATGGGTATCTTCTGTGGCTTAATGGTCTGAGGGTGTTTTCACAGCCCCCCCCCCCCCCCGGGGCTCGCAGAACTAGGCTGCTTCGATGAATCTTGATGCTTTTAAAACTTAATGGTATTAAACCCACTTTTTTTACTTTACGGAAGTCCACACTCGCCTGTTACGTAATTCGCGGAACCAATTTCATCCGAATTACTTTGGTTAAGACCGGGTATTTGGCAAGTTATGCAGATTTGAATTTCTTCAGTCTTGATATCTGTAGTGTCCATTGCAGCAGATAAACAAATTTTCAGGTACAGTAGTTCTAATAGTTTGTGGTTAGGTAGAAATTGAAATTTTTTATTTTGGTATTGTATTAAATCTTCCTTCCACCCCTCCCCCACTACTTGGGCAATTTTCCTAGTTCATGTGGTTTCTTCAGTAGTGCGAAAGTTGTATTGTAAAGCTTTCAGTAAAGTTTATATTCAGTGGGGCTGTAATTGGTAAACGTAGAAATCTGCGTGTCTGGGATCACATTGTTTTCCCAGAGAGTCAATTTTGTAAGTAAGTGTTGGCATGTCGCTAACTTACGGGCTACTAGTGGACATGCCACGTCTTATGGGGGCGTAATGTTAATCAGTCATGGTATCGGTAGTCACTAGAATGCGTGGTAATATTGTTTGGAATGGCAACTTAAAAGCTATTAGGATGAATGTATCAAATTAAGAATTTAAATTCATTGCAAAAGGTTTAGTACTAAAGTTTGTACTCTGGTGTTGCCCTATATATCAAAGATTACAAAGACACGAGGGCATACAATGTTATACAGAGAAATTATAATTTGTTGAACAAAAATAACTTTAAGACTTTCATAAATTTATTTGATACTTTATAAATCATTGTAATGGTATAAATAACTTTAATGTTTTGTTTTTCTAGGGTCTGGCTCGACATTGGCCACGAGTCTTCTTGAGAAATAACTTTAAAGTGAACGGAAGACTAGTCAGTCACAAGGCACGGAACTAGTTTTGGCGTGACGTAGCTGCAAGTCTCGATAGAGGTGGTTGGACGGTGTTGAACACGGGGCGGCTGGCAACGTTGCAGGAATATCTGAAAGAAAAGGCAAGTTGTTAAAACGTTCAGTTAATATTTATCATTTAGCAGGAAACTGTTGGAAAGGATATTCTGCAGAATTATAGAAAGAGCATCTGTGGGACATTAGAAACGGTTAGTATTAACTAGTTTACTTGTCTTAGTTATGAGACTTGGGTTTAGGAGGCAGTAAAAATGCCAGTTAAAATATAGAAATTAATGGAATAGGCTACCATAATTAGTAGGGAAATATCGATAGATGAGCTTTGAAGCGGCATGATTCAAAGATAGTGTAAAGGATGAATGGTAGTGTTCATGACGTTGTAATTGGGAGGACCTAATAGTGATCGGTGAAAATAGTTTAGGGCATTATGAATAGTTAGCAGGGGGGGGGGGGGAGTGACGAACTGTGGAAGGCGTTGCTTCTGCACCACTAGAATTTGCCACTAGCAATATTGAACGTTGAGAGTTTGCAAAAATACTGCAGTTTCATACTGATTAGTGTAAATGTTAGGAAGAATGAAGGAATGTACATATTCTTCAGTTGACTATAACGGTAAGTGTTTAAAAGTCTTAATGTCAAATGGTATAAATTGGTATTCGATGAAGTATGGTTGACGGGCCATTTTGTTAGTGAAAACGTGTAAAAGTAATATAAAGGGAGGAAACGTGACTACTAACGATAACTTTCAGAACATCGTAGATTTGTGGTAGAATGGTGGTTAGAGAATAGTTTGTAGTAGGAAATAGTTTGGCGTGTAGTTACTCTAGCTTGTTGGAAGGGCAAGAAGTAGAAAAGTGAATATTGAAATTAATGCAAACATTTTAACTTTACAGACGCAGTATAGAAAATGAAGACGGGTGGCTGTAGCAGTAAGAAGGCCGGTGAAGCATGGACTGCAAAATTGGAAAGCAAAATGCAAAAGTTGTAAATCTCTGGATTGTGTACTTTGAAACTGTTCTTAGAACAATAGAATCTGTTCCCTCTTATGTTTAATATCCGGTGTATGGCGTTATGACTATTGTTCGGCTGGTTTTCTACATTAACAATGTGGGTCCAATGAATGATGTTCGTATTGGAATAAATATCCCGTAATTATAGAAGTTAATGTTTACAGCTGTTTGTGTATTCTTTAACGGCTGGCTATGCACAGTTTGTCTAAAAGCCATGTTTATTGTTGTAACATTGTCTAGGCCCAGTGTATGTGACAGTGGCTAGAATTTAAAATGTTTAATAAAGTGTTCATATTGGATAAGTGTATGAATGTCCCAAATGGCTTTAGTCCTCGTGATGTAAAAGTTTAACCACGAAGTGTTAGTGTCAATGTTAAAATGGTTGTTCCTAAGGGTTTAAAGTGGTGTTGACTGATCACCTTGTTCCTAAAGAGCATTTTGGTGAAACAGGCTGTACACTAAATGACGCAAATTGGTTTATAGGGAATATTTTTGTCGACCGTAATCCTCACCTAGGTGGTGTTAAATACTTGGTATTAATAGATGCAATCTTGTGGAGCATAATAAATATGAGCAACATGAACCTTGGTGTTACACTTTGACAGTACTTATGTTATCAATGTAAAGAAACGTGACGCGTTTTTGTTACATTTTTCTTAGGTCAGTTGTACATAAGTTTTATAACCATATTTATTGCTGTTTACTTGGTTTAAAATTCATCGTATTAGTCTGTTTCTTGTAAAATGTTGGTGCTTTTAATGTCTGTGTCCCTTGGTGTGGTATAGGAGTGACAATGATGGTAGCATCAGTGAAACGTTATCTAACTACGTATGTGCATCTTGAAAAGAGTGAAACAAAATTGGGGGAGGGGGGAGTGAACAGCACAGATGTGTAAAGAACGTTGAAGGGGTTAAATACAAGCACATTGTCGTGAAGTCGGCCTGATAGTGTCCTTACCGTAAATTAAGGTTTTCACAGTAGCAGTAAGTGAAGAGTAATATGAAGACCTTTCACTCCATGCGACGAAGATGACTCAAAATTTACAAGAATTCTGCGTCGCAGAATTCAAGTTACAAGACTGGGGGAGTATGGGGAGAGTAGGGGGATACGGGGGTACTGCAGGAGTGGGTTGAGTATGGGGAGTGGGGGAGAGTAGGGGGATACGGGGGTACTGCAGGAGTGGGTTGAGTATGGGGAGTGGGGGAGAGTAGGGGGATACGGGGGTACTGCAGGAGTGGGTTGAGTATGGGGAGTGGGGGAGAGTAGGGGGATACGGGGGTACTGCAGGAGTGGGTTGAGTATGGGGATAGTGGGGGAGAGTAGGGGAATATGGGGGATACTGGGGGGGAGTATGGGGGATACTGCAGGAGTGAGGGAGAGTTGGGGAGTATGGGGGATACTGCAGGAGTGAGGGAGAGTTGGGGAGTATGGGGGATACTGCAGGAGTGAGGGAGAGTTGCGGAGTATGGGGGATAATGCAGGAGTGGGGGAGAGTCCTGTGTCGTTTTATTTTTCCAAAATTTCTAGTGATTTGAGGCGAATTTCTTGTGAATTTTGTGCTATCTTCGTCGTATGTAGTGAAATGTCGTAGTTTGTCGTGTTGTGTCGTAGTTTGTCGTGTTGTGTCGTCGTTTGTCGTGTTGTGTCGTCGTTTGTCGTGTTGTGTCGTCGTTTGTCGTGTTGTGTCGTCGTTTGTCGTGTTGTGTCGTCGTTTGTCGTGTTGTGTCGTCGTTTGTCGTGTTGTGTCGTTTTATTTTTTCCAAAATTTCTTGTGATTTGAGGCGAATTTCGTGCTATCTTCGTCGTATGTAGTGAAATGTCGTCGTTTGTCGTGTTGTGTCGTCGTTTGTCGTGTTGTGTCGTCGTTTGTCGTGTTGTGTCGTCGTTTGTCGTGTTGTGTCGTCGTTTGTCGTGTTGTGTCGTCGTTTGTCGTGTTGTGTCGTTTTATTTTTTCCAAAATTTCTTGTGATTTGAGGCGAATTTCGTGCTATCTTCGTCGTATGTAGTGAAATGTCGTCGTTTGTCGTGTTGTGTCGTCGTTTGTCGTGTTGTGTCGTCGTTTGTCGTGTTGTGTCGTCGTTTGTCGTGTTGTGTCGTCGTTTGTCGTGTTGTGTCGTCGTTTGTCGTGTTGTGTCGTTTTATTTTTTCCAAAATTTGTGATTTGAGGCGAATTTCGTGCTATCTTCGTCGTATGTAGTGAAATATCGTCGTTTGTCGTGTTGTGTCGTCGTTTGTCGTGTTGTGTCGTCGTTTGTCGTGTTGTGTCGTCGTTTGTCGTGTTGTCGTTTTATTTTTCCAAAATTTCTTGTGATTTGAGGCGAATTTCGTGCTATCTTCGTCGTATGTAGTGAAATGTCGTCGTTTGTCGTGTTGTGTCGTCGTTTGTCGTGTTGTGTCGTCGTTTGTCGTGTTGTGTCGTCGTTTGTCGTGTTGTGTCGTTTTATTTTTTCCAAAATTTCTTGTGATTTGAGGCGAATTTCGTGCTATCTTCGTCGTATGTAGTGAAATGTCGTCGTTTGTCGTGTTGTGTCGTCGTTTGTCGTGTTGTGTCGTCGTCTGTCGTGTTGTGTCGTTTTATTTTTCCAAAATTTGTGATTTGAGGCGAATTTCTTGTGAATTTCGTGCTATCTTCGTCGTATGTAGTGAAATGTCGTCGTTTGTCGTGTTGTGTCGTCGTTTGTCGTGTTGTGTCGTCGTTTGTCGTGTTGTGTCGTCGTTTGTCGTGTCGTGTCGTCGTCTGTCGTGTTGTGTCGTTTTATTTTTTCCAAAATTTCTTGATTTGAGGCGAATTTCGTGCTATCTTCGTCGTATGTAGTGAAATGTCGTCGTTTGTCGTGTTGTGTCGTCGTTTGTCGTGTTGTGTCGTCGTTTGTCGTGTTGTGTCGTTTTATTTTTTCCAAAATTTCTTGTGATTTGAGGCGAATTTCGTGCTATCTTCGTCGTATGTAGTGAAATGTCGTCGTTTGTCGTGTTGTGTCGTGTTGTGTCGTCGTTTGTCGTGTTGTGTCGTCGTCTGTCGTGTTGTGTCGTTTTATTTTTTCCAAAATTTCTTGTGATTTGAGGCGAATTTCGTGCTATCTTTGTCGTATGTAGTGAAATGTCGTCGTTTGTCGTGTTGTGTCGTTTTATTTTTTCCAAAATTTCTTGTGATTTGAGGCGAATTTCGTGCTATCTTCGTCGTATGTAGTGAAATGTCGTCGTTTGTCGTGTTGTGTCGTCGTTTGTCGTGTTGTGTCGTCGTCTGTCGTGTTGTGTCGTTTTATTTTTCCAAAATTTGTGATTTGAGGCGAATTTCTTGTGAATTTTGTGCTATCTTCGTCGTATGTAGTGAAATGTCGTCGTTTGTCGTGTTGTGTCGTCGTTTGTCGTGTTGTGTCGTCGTTTGTCGTGTTGTGTCGTTTTATTTTTTCCAAAATTTCTTGTGATTTGAGGCGAATTTCGTGCTATCTTCGTCGTATGTAGTGAAATATCGTCGTTTGTCGTGTTGTGTCGTCGTTTGTCGTGTTGTGTCGTCGTTTGTCGTGTTGTGTCGTCGTTTGTCGTGTTGTGTCGTTTTATTTTTCCAAAATTTCTTGTGATTTGAGGCGAATTTCGTGCTATCTTCGTCGTATGTAGTGAAATGTCGTCGTTTGTCGTGTTGTGTCGTCGTTTGTCGTGTTGTGTCGTCGTTTGTCGTGTTGTGTCGTCGTTTGTCGTGTTGTGTCGTTTTATTTTTTCCAAAATTTCTTGTGATTTGAGGCGAATTTCGTGCTATCTTCGTCGTATGCAGTGAAATGTCGTCGTTTGTCGTGTTGTGTCGTCGTTTGTCGTGTTGTGTCGTCGTCTGTCGTGTTGTTTCGTTTTATTTTTCCAAAATTTGTGATTTGAGGCGAATTTCTTGTGAATTTCGTGCTATCTTCGTCGTATGTAGTGAAATGTCGTCGTTTGTCGTGTTGTGTCGTCGTTTGTCGTGTTGTGTCGTCGTTTGTCGTGTTGTGTCGTCGTTTGTCGTGTCGTGTCGTCGTCTGTCGTGTTGTGTCGTTTTATTTTTTCCAAAATTTCTTGATTTGAGGCGAATTTCGTGCTATCTTCGTCGTATGTAGTGAAATGTCGTCGTTTGTCGTGTTGTGTCGTCGTTTGTCGTGTTGTGTCGTTTTATTTTTTCCAAAATTTCTTGTGATTTGAGGCGAATTTCGTGCTATCTTCGTCGTATGTAGTGAAATGTCGTCGTTTGTCGTGTTGTGTCGTCGTTTGTCGTCGTTTGTCGTGTTGTGTCGTCGTCTGTCGTGTTGTGTCGTTTTATTTTTTCCAAAATTTCTTGTGATTTGAGGCGAATTTCGTGCTATCTTTGTCGTATGTAGTGAAATGTCGTCGTTTGTCGTGTTCTGTCGTCGTTTGTCGTGTTGTGTCGTTTTATTTTTTCCAAAATTTCTTGTGATTTGAGGCGAATTTCGTGCTATCTTCGTCGTATGTAGTGAAATGTCGTCGTTTGTCGTGTTGTGTCGTCGTCTGTCGTGTTGTGTCGTCGTCTGTCGTGTTGTGTCGTTTTATTTTTCCAAAATTTGTGATTTGAGGCGAATTTCTTGTGAATTTTGTGCTATCTTCGTCGTATGTAGTGAAATGTCGTCGTTTGTCGTGTTGTGTCGTCGTTTGTCGTGTTGTGTCGTCGTTTGTCGTGTTGTGTCGTCGTTTGTCGTGTCGTGTCGTCGTCTGTCGTGTCGTGTCGTCGTCTGTCGTGTTGTGTCGTTTTATTTTTTCCAAAATTTCTTGATTTGAGGCGAATTTCGTGCTATCTTCGTCGTATGTAGTGAAATGTCGTCGTGTTGTCGTCGTCTGTCGTGTCGTGTCTTTTTTTTTTTCCAAAATTTCTTGTGATGAGGCGAATTTGTGAATTTTGTGCCATCTTCGTCGTATGTAGTGAAATGTCGTGTCGTCGTGTTCTGTCGTTTAATTTTTTCCATTATTTTTTGCGATTTGAGGCATATTTCTTCAGAATTTTATGCCATCTTCGTCATATGTAGTGAAATGTCGCTTGTGTTTATTGCCACCATTTCTTGTGAACTGTGTGTTATCTTCGTATGTAGTTAAATGTCGTCGTCTGTTGTGTTATGTTTTATTTTGCCACCAATTGTGTTGCGACGCAAAATTCTTGTAAATTGCGCGTTATCTTCGTCGCATGGAGTGAAAGGTCTTCGTATTACTTTTCACTTGCTGCTACTATGAAAACCTTTATTTACATTGAGGACACTCTCAGGCTGACTTCACGACAATGTGCCATCCATTCAACCCCTTCAACGTTCTATACCCACTTGTCCTGTACACTTCCCCCAATTTTGTTTTATTCTTTTCAAGATGCACATACGTAGTAAATTAAACATTTCACTGATGCCACTACCATTATCAAACCCCTACTATACCACACACAAAGAGACACCGACATTAAAAGCACCAACACTTTACAAGAAACAGACGAATACGATGAATTTTTAACCAAGTAAACAGCAATATATATGGTTAGAAAACTTTTATACAACTGACCTAAGAAAAATGTAACTACGTTAGAAAAACGCGTCGTTAAAAACAAAACACTAAGGTTCATGTTCATATTTATATTCCACAAGGTTGCAACTATTGATAATAAGTATTTAACACCACCTAGGTGAGGATTACAATTGACAAAAATATTCCCTATAAACCAATTGCCTTCATTCAGTAAAGCCTGTTTCACCAAAATGCTCTTAAGGTAAGGTAATTATCAAAAGAAGGCACCAAACCGGGCCAAAATGCTCTTAAGGAACAAGGTGATCAGTCAACTTAAAACCCTCAGGAACAACCCTTCTAACAACATTAACCACGAAGTGTTACTGTGTCAAACTTACATCAAGAGTACTAAAGCCATTTGGGACAGTTCATACACTTCATATCCAATAAGAACACTTTATTAACAAACCTTCAAATTCTAGCCACTGTCGCATACACTGGGCCTAGACAATGTTACAACAATAAACATGGCATTGTAGATATATAAACTGTGCATAGCCAGCCGTTAAAGAATACACAAACGGCTGTAAACATTAACGTCTATAATTAAGGGATATTTATTCCAATACGAACATTTATCGGAACCACATTGTTAATACAGAAAACCAGCCGAACAATAGTCATAACACCATACACCAGATATTATACATAAGAGGGAACAGATTCTATAGTTCTAAAAACAGTTTCAAAGTACACAATACAGATTTACAACTTTCCTTTATTTTGCATCTTGCTTCCCAATTTTGCAGTCTATGCTTCACCGTCCTTACTGCTACAGCCACCCGTCTTCATCCATTTTCTATACTGCGTCTGTAAAGTTAAAATGTGTGCATTAATTTCAATATTCACGTTTCTCTACTTGTCCTTCCAACACTTTAGCTAGAGTAACTACACACCAAACTATTTCCTACTACATACTATTCTCTAACCACCATTCTACCACAAATCTACGATGTTGTAAAAGTTATTAGTAGTCACGTTTCCTCCCTTTATATTACTTTTACACGTTTTCACTAACAAAATGGCCCGTCAACCATACTTCATCGAATACCAATTTATACCATTTGACATTAAAACTGCTAAACACTTACCGTTATAGTCAACTGAAGAATATGTACATTCCTTCATTCTTCCTAACATTTACACTAACCAGTAAGAAACTGCAGTATTTTTGCAAACTCAACGTTCAATATTGCTAGTTGCAAATTCTAGTGGTGCAGAAGCAACGCCTTCCACAGTTCGTCACTCCCCCCCCCCTGCTAACTATTCATAATGCCCTAAACTATTTTCACCGATCACTATTAGGTCCTCCCAATTACAACGTCATGAACACTACCATTCATCCTTTACACTATCTTGGAATCTTGCCGCTTCAAAGCTCATCTATCGATATTTCCCTACTAATTATGGTAGCCTATTCCATTAATTTCTATATTTTTACTGCCTCCTAAACCCAAGTCTCATAACTAGGACAAGTAAACTAGTTAATACTAACCGTTTCTAATGTCCCACAGATGCTCTTTCTATAATTCTGCAGAATATCCTTTCCAACAGTTTCCTGCTAAATGATAAATATTAACTGAACGTTTTAACAACTTTCCTTTTCTTTCAGATATTCCTGCAACGTTGCCAGCCGCCCCGTGTTCAACACCGTCCAACCACCTCTATCGAGACTTGCAGCTACGTCACGCCAAAACTAGTTCCGTGCCTTGTGACTGACTAGTCCTCCGTTCACTTCAAGTTTCTCAAGAAGACTCGTGGCCATTGTCGAGCCAGACCCTAGAAAAACAAAACATTTTATTTATACCATTACAATCTTTTATAAAGTATCAAATAAATTTATGAAAAAGTCTTAAGGGTATTTTTGTTCAACAAATTATAATTTCTATAACATTTTATACCTCTTGTCTTTGTAATCTTTGATATATAGGGCAACACCAGGGTACAAACTTTAGTACTAAACCTTATTCAATAAATTTAAATTCTTAATTTGTTTAATACATTCATCCTAATAGCTTTTAAGTTGCCATTCCAAACAATATTACCACGCATTCTAGCGACTACCGATATTATGACTGATTAACATTACGCCCCCATAAGACGTGGCATGTCCACTAGTAGCCCGTAAATTAGCGACATGCCAACACTTAATTACTTACAAAATTGACCGTCTGGGAAAACAATGTGATCCCAGACACGCAGATTTCTACGTTTACTAATTACGGCCCCACTGAATACATTAACTTTACTGAAAGCTTTAAAAAAATTTTTCGCACTACTGAAGAAACCACATGAACTAGGAAAATCGCCCAAGTAGTGGGGGTGGGGGGGGGGGAAGGGCCGAGATTTAATACAATACCAAAGTATAATTTTCAATTTCTACTTTTACCACAAACTATTAGAACTACTGTAACTGAAATTTTTTTTACCCGCTGCAATGGACACTACAGATATCAAGACTGAAGAAATTCAAACTTGCATAACTTACCAAATACCCGGTCTTAACCAAAGTAATTCAGATGAAATTGGTTCCGTGAATTACATTACAGAAATCCACATCCACCTGTTAAAAAAAAAATTGGGTTTAATACCATTAAGTTTTAAAAGCGTAAAGTCATCTAAACAGCCTAGTTCTGCGAGCCTGGAGGGGGGTGGGGGCTGTGAAAACACCCTCAGACCATTAAGCCACAGAAGACACCCATAAACTGCCACCAACTACTACCAACGCTTCGCCACAGGAATAAGCTGTACATTTAGTGCCTTACAGTACCTACTAGCCATTTAAAAATTTAAATATTACGACAGCTGGCTCTAAAGTTTTGAGCTACAAATCCCAAAATTCTTTAGTAATTTTTAATCTTTACACCCTCATCCTTTACTCATTACTCTATTGCATTTTAAACGGGCCACGTACTTAAATACCTTACGTACTGCCCAGATATTGAGACTTTTTGCCCGCTCTAATGCAGATTTAACAAAAAATTGTGGACCAGCCACTTAATGCTGTACGGCTAAATCTTAAACGAGGCTAATTATTAATACTAATGCTAGGATACGTCAACTACGTTTCCACGTAAATAACTTTACCAATTCTATCATACGCCACCCAAATATCACCGTCCCTATAAAGGCATCACAGATAACAGAGCCCACATTACGCTACGCCAACAACCAGGTCACACCATAATTAAATATCGACACCTTATATGAGTTAATACATTGAGCAATAAAGTCCACTGTAACCTTACCTGATGACCGGTGTAGCTGCAAATGATGTAAGAAGCGGGACACCGCCTAAGGAACTACGTCTACTGGCTGTCAGCCCGACACTGAGGCGGCGCCGGCCGCTCCTGACCTTGCCCAACGTCATTGGTGACGTCACAGTGCTTAACGACCATATCCTCGTGCTGTGCTAGTTAATGTATATGTTTATCTCTCAGAATGTTCGGTAATACGTTTATTGCTTGTGATCAGTGTCTATGTATGTAGTAACACGATGTACTGAACGGGGTGAGAATAGCTTGAGCTTCCTCATCCCTTTGTGTGTATTTTACCTCAATAAACTTATTTCAATTTCAATTTCTCGTGCTGTGCTAGTTTGCGCTCCAATGTTTTACATTCCGTTAGTTACTCTTAATCAGTAATATTATAATTTAATGTAATAAGTAATAAGTAATATATTGATTTACTTTAATCAGTATATTATAAATCAAAACAGCGGTTAAAAGCTTTCGAGATTCATAAATAATGGATTCAGGAACTCGTCGCGTGGTCTACATACAGCCTATAGTAATTTTCGCCATTTTAATACTATATTAGCAATGTCAGACTGATTATTTTTAATAGAAACACAAGAAAAGATGCCAGTATTTTTGATTGGCACTGTGTATTAAGATTTCCTTAGATAAGAATATTCCTTAACAATTTAGAGAGACTTGCAGTTTTAATTCTTTTAAAATGATATGCTGAAATTTGGTTTAGAAACTAATTAAAGTCTTAAGTGCTCTTCGTCAGTCCTAATCAAGGCTAATATACTTTGAATACAGTAACAATGCAAGCCATAATTTCAACAATGTCAGAGGCTGTCATAAGGTGCAGATGTTTACTGGGAAAAACTGTAAAACAGATAATACATAAAAACATGTATATACATTATGTCCAAACCTATGTACAGTGTTTTATAATCATAAATATCTTGAAATTTATGTTATTTTGGTCATTTGTAATATTCTCTTATTCTGCCTTTCACAAATTAGTGTGATAAATTTTAAATCATAATCTACAATATGTATTTGTTATTGACCTATAAATCTTTGCTAACAATTTATAAAGGAATCTGGAAAACACCTTATAATTACTGATGGACTACCCGTTGTGCTGTGAATCTCGCAGACATTACCTTTCCACTGCTCTCCTCAGCCGATGTTGTCGCTTTGTGTTAGATCACTCACCCCCTCTTTGCACTCCCAGTTGACACTCTTAAAATCTTTGGCTCTTGCATCCTTGAAGGTGAAGTCTAGACTCCAACCCTAAAGGCACCTTGCCCTCAAGCTCTACCCCTTCCTAGTCCCACAGTCGTCGTCGCCCCTAAATTAACAAATGCACCCTTTCCTGGGTCTACAACCAATTGACTGAATTAACAATTGACAGCCACAGGGGGGTGTCCACGGCCACAGGGGAGTGTCCACGGCCACAGGGGAGTGTCCACGGCCACAGTGGAGTGTCCACGGCCACAGTGGAGTGTCCACGGCCACAGTGGAGTGTCCACGGCCACAGGGGGGTGTCCACGGCCAAAGAGGGGGTGTCCACGGCCACAGTGGAGTGTCCACGGCCAAAGAGGGGGTGTCCACGGCCATAGGGGGGTGTCCACGGCCACAGGGGGGTGTCCACGGCCACAGGGGGGTGTCCACGGCCACAGGGGGGTGTCCACGGCCACAGGGGGGTGTCTATGGCCACAGGGAGGTGTCCACGGCCACAGGGGGGTGTTCACGGCCACAGGGGGGTTTCCACGGCCACAGGGGAGTGTCTACGGCCACAGGGGAGTGTCTACGGCCACAGACGAGTGTCCACGGCCAAAGAGGGGGTGTCCACGGCCACAAGGGAGTGTCCATGGCCACAAGGGAGTGTCCATGGCCACAGACGAGTGTGCACGGCAACAGTGGAGACTCCACGGCCAAAGAGGGGGGTGTCCACGACCACAGGGGAGTGTCCACGGCCAAAGAGGCGGTGTCCACGGCCACAGGGGGGTGTCCACGGCCACAGGGGGTGTCCACGGCCACAGGGGAGTGTCTACGGCCACAGGGCGGTGTCCATGGCCACAGAGGCGTGTCAACGGCCACAGGGGCGTGTCCACGGCCACAGGGGGTGTCCACAGCCATAGGGGAGTGTCCACGGCCAAAGAGGGGGTGTCCACGGCCAAAGAGGGGGTGTCCACGGCCACAGGGGAGTGTCCACGGCCACAGGGGAGTGTCCACGGCCACAGGGGTGGTGGCCATGGCCATAGAAGTGTCTACGGCTTCAAGGGAGTGTCCACGGCCACAGGGGAGTGTCCACGGCCAAAGAGGGGGTGTCCACAGCAACAGGGGGTGTCCACGGCCACAGGGGAGTGTCCACGGCCAAAGAGGGGGTGTCCACAGCAACAGGGGGTGTCCACCGCCAAAGAGGGGGTGTCCACGGCCACAGTGGACTGTCCACGGCCAAAGAGGGGGTGTCCACGGCCACAGGGGAGTGTCCACGGCCACAGGGGGGTGGCCATGGCCATAGAAGAGTGTCTACGGCTTCAAGGGAGTGTCCACGGCCACAGGGCGGTGTCCATGGCCACAGGGCAGTGTCAACGGCCACAGGGGGGTGTCCACGGCCACAGGGGGAGTCCACGGCCATAGGGGAGTGTCCACGGCCAAAGAGGGGGTGTCCACGGCCATAGAGGGGGTGTCCACGGCCACAGAGGGGGTGCCCACGGCCACAGAGGGGGTGTCCACGGCCACAGAGGGAGTGTCCACGGCCACAGAGTACTGTCCACGGCCAAAGGGGGGTGTCCACGGCCACAGGGGAGTGTCCACGGCCAAAGAGGGGGTGTCCACAGCCACAGGGGGTGTCCACGGCCAAAGGGGGATGTCCACGGCCAAAGGGGGGTGTCCACGGCCACAGGGGAGTGTCCACGGCCAAAGGGGGGTGTCCACGGCCACAGGGGAGTGTCCACGGCCAAAGAGGGGGTGTCCACAGCCACAGGGGGTGTCCACGGCCAAAGGGGGGTGTCCACAGCCACAGGGGGTGTCCACGGCCAAAGGGGGGTGTCCACGGCCACAGGGGAGTGTCCACGGCCATAAGGGGAGTGTCCACGGTCACAGGAAGGGTGTCCACGGTCACAGGAAGGGTGTCCACGGTCACAGGGGGTGTCCACGGCCACAGGGGGGTGTCCACGGCCACAGGGCGGGTGCCACGGCCCCAGGGGGGTGTCCACGGCCACAGGGGGGTGTCCACGGCCACAGGGGGTGTCCACGGCCACAGGGGGGTGTCCACGGCCACAGGGGGGTGTCCACTGCCACAGGGGAGTGTCCACGGCCACAGACGAGTGTCCACGGCCACAGGGGAGTGTCCACGAAAACGGCGATGGGTCATATTTTGCTCAAATCCCCCTGCAGTTTTTAAAATATCTGAAATGTCGGAAATTTGACTCCTGAGCGTGATTTTTTAGCTAAATTCTGACTCTCTGAACCTATTTTCAAATTCAAATTTCGACTTTTTATACCGAAAATATGCCAATTACTGAAAACGGCGATAGGTCATATTTTGCCCAAACCCCCCTGCAGTTTTCAAAATATCTGAAATGTCGGAAATTTGACTCCTGAGCGTGATTTTTGACCCGAATTCTGACTCTCTGCACCTATTTTCAGTTTCAAATTACGACTTTTTACGCCGAAAATATGCCAATTACCGAAAACGGTGATGGGTCATTTTTTGCTCAAATCCCCCTGCAGTTTTCAAAACGTGAGTGTCTACGTCCACAGAAGAGTGTCCATGGCCACAGAGGGGGTGCCCACGGCCACAGAGGGGGTGTCCACGGCCACAGAGGGGGTGTCCACGGCCACAGAGGGGGTGTCCACGGTCATAGAGGGGGTGTCCACGGCCACAGAGACCTGTCCACGGCCACAGGGGGGTGTCCACGGCCACAGGGGAGTGTCCACGGCCATAGGGAGTGTCCACGGCCAAGGAGGGGGTGTCCACGGCCACAGTGGAGTGTCCACGGCCACAGTGGAGTGTCCAAGGCCAAAGAGGGGGTGTCCACGGCCATAGGGGGCTGTCCACGGCCACAGGGGGGTGTCCACGGCCACAGGGGGGTGTCCACAGCCATAGGGAGTGTCCACGGCCAAGGAGGGGGTGGCCACGGCCACAGAGGGGGTGTCCACGGCCACAGAGGGGGTGTCCACGGCTACAGAGGGGGTGTCCACGGTCATAGAGGGGGTGTCCACGGCCACAGAGACCTGTCCACGGCCACAGGGGGTGTCCACGGCCACAGGGGGGTGTCCACAGCCATAGGGAGTGTCCACGGCCAAGGAGGGGGTGTCCACGGCCACAGTGGAGTGTCCACGGCCAAGGAGGGGGTGTCCACGGCCACAGTGGAGTGTCCACGGCCACAGTGGAGTGTCCAAGGCCAAAGAGGGGGTGTCCACGGCCATAGGGAGCTGTCCACGGCAACAGGGGGGTGTCCACGGCCACAGGGGGGTGTCCACGGCCACAGGGGGGTGTCCACGGCCACAGGGGGGTGTCCACGGCCACAGGGGAGTGTTCACGGCCACAGTGGAGTGTCCATGGCCACAGGGGAGTGTCCACGGCCAAAGAGGGGGTGTCCACGGCCACAGTGGGGTGTCCACGGCCACAGTGGAGTGTCCACGGCCACAGTGGAGTGTCCACGGCCAAAGAGGGGGTGTCCACGGCCACAGTGGGGTGTCCACGGCCACAGTGGAGTGTCCACGGCCACAGTGGGGTGTCCACGGCCATAGGGGGGTGTCCACGGCCACAGGGGGGTGTCCACGGCCACAGGGGGGTGTCCACGGCCACAGGGGGGTGTCAACGGCCATAGGGGAGTGTCCACGGCCAAAGAGGGGGTGTCCACGGCCATAGAGGGGGTGTCCACGGCCATAGAGGGGGTGCCCACGGCAACAGAGGGGGTGTCCACGGCCACAGAGGGGGTGTCCACGGCTACAGAGGGGGTGTCCACGGTCATAGAGGGGGTGTCCACGGCCACAGGGGGTGTCCACGGCCACAGGGGGGTGTCCACAGCCATAGGGAGTGTCCACGGCCAAGGAGGGGGTGTCCACGGCCACAGTGGAGTGTCCACGGCCAAGGAGGGGGTGTCCACGGCCACAGTGGAGTGTCCACGGCCACAGTGGAGTGTCCAAGGCCAAAGAGGGGGTGTCCACGGCCATAGGGAGCTGTCCACAGCAACA